AAGGAAACCATTAGCAATATCTTCTGTGGTGGTAATTAGTTTAGTGCTTGTTCCTTTCCAAATATAGAGGATAGAGACTCCTTTGGAAGCAGAAGAGATACTATTGTATAGTGCCCTCAAGCTGAACTCGCAGGCTGCTAATGGCGATAGGGGCTTCTGAAAGTTTTTGCTGAGCTCATCTATCATATCAGCTTTATACAAATGTACTAGATTTTTTTCCTGTCTCCCCAGATTATATTTTTCCCCTACAATCAAAAAAATCAATCAATCAAAAGAAGCTAGTAAACACCTATGCCTATTAGGTACCTTCCATCAGGGAGAAAAAAAGGAGATGGAAGCGAAACAACTTTTGGAATTGTCAGTGCATCAAACAGGCTTACGCCACAGGGTGTAACTTAACCTGAGGCAAATAGATGGCGGCCCCTCAAGAACAGCATCACTATACTGTGCAGGCCTTGATACTTCTGCAGAACTACTTGAAATTGCAACTTTTTAAGTTTTTTTGAAGGTGGAAAGTAAGCATCAGTATTGATTTTCTTCTGTCCAGCCTYTATTTGTTAAGGTGCAATTCCCCCGCCTCCCATCAATGCAAGCCAGGGTGATTTCTTTCTGTTTGTTTAGGGCCAGTGACCTGCATGTGACCACTACGCAACTGACAGCATACGKAGGCATGCCTCGGAGAATAGCCACCCCACTCATCACCCAGGCAGCTGTACAGCATTTTCATTGAATCCCCTTTCTCTTTAAGGGTGGAAACAGGTTAGTCAAGTTGCTCTTACTTATATAACATAGTTTGTAAATATGTAACCTAGTTACTGAATATTTATTACATGACCATGCTCTATTTCTGCTCCATTTTGGAAGGAATTAGTCTGTATTCTACAGCAGTGGAAATTCACAGGTACTTCTTTGGAAAGGGCAGTGCRCTGGTGCCCAAAAGCTGGTCTCAGGCCTGAATCTATGTAATTCTCCTTAACAAACACTTCTCTTGAAACAGGATAGCATGAATACTCYTTTAGTGCAGATATTGTAACTCAGGCTTGGGACAACTCTTTCAGAGATAAGTGTCTCTATTTACTGATTTGTGACTACATTCATCTACTCAAGTTTTATTCAAAAATAAAGAGATGTAATATTTGCCTATTCCTATACCACAATGTTTTGATCATGTTTTCTGTCACATTCCTTCATCAACTTTTACGAATATACAAAGCGCTGCAAATCTGGCCAGAATGTAGGGGAAGGCATAACTCAACAAAACCCGATGGGTTATTCAGATATCTGAGCCACTTATGGACCTTCAAAAAAAAGAGAGAAGAGTTTAAGGTGATGTTTTTAGACAGAAAAAATAGTTTYCTTTCAATCTTGAAATATTTTTGAAATAACCAAAATGACATTTTAACTAAAATGTCTAACTAACAAGTTAGACAACAGCTCTGCATAGAGCAAGTAGGACTCGTGTTGGATATGGGACAAAGCAGGGAAAAATGTACTGTGTGCCTAGAGAGGAATCCAAATGCTTTTTGAGAGTCTTATTAAACTCTTAAAACAAAGGCAAGACTAGCAACAAGAAAAAGATATACATAACACCAGAATGTTTGTCTTATGGTCAGGAGAAATTATTTCTACCTTGTTGTACTATTAGGACTACTTCTAGATAGAAAAGCTTAAAAAAAGAGTAGCAGTAAGTCACTGATAAGCAAAGCTTTTCATGCTGTGGGTAGATTTTAGAATTAAAGTTAGTTTGAAAACTGTCTTCTGTTACAGAAGGCAAGTGACACATTAGCTTTAAATGAGAACACATTCCAGCAACCAAGCCTAGCTCRGTAAACCTTTTCCAGGGACACACTCCTGAACTGGCATGTGTTGAGCCCAGAACCTCAACCTGCTGGGGAAACTACTGATCATCCTATGGGACAGCCTGGACAGAAAGAAGGCAAGGTCCTCATCAGTGGCTTGGAAGGGGAGGGAGGGGGAAAAGAGTAGCTAAGAGGTCCTCTTGGATACTTGGATAAAGTTATCATTTGGAGATGGTTTGAGATAAGAGCTAGCACTTAGGCTAATTTTTACCACACTCAAAATATTCTGGCCACAGGCACTGGAGTGTTTGTGAGAATGTGCTGGAAAGGTCAGCTGCAGTGGATACATGCAACTAATTAATACGTTAGGCTCTTGCTAACATCTAGCCCTATGGAAATCATAGCCTCTGGTATCRTTATATACTTACCAGACCTTTCACTGCATCTTTATTTATTGAAGTGGCTGAAAAATAAAATACATGTATCACTAACTTAAAGAAACTGCAGAAAATTACATCTAACTGAATTTGTACGAGTTTTACAACATGAATCAAGTGCAAGTTTTAATGCAAGTTTTAATGCAATCAGTGTAGTTTCCTTAAACTGTATTACAACTGTATTGTTGTCAGTTTCCATTAATGACATTCAAACATTAGTCCTTCATACAGAAGGCAAATAAGTGGTTCTACTTAATAAAACAAACCTCAAGAGGCTGTTCAGCTTTTTACACATCGCCACACCCCCACAAAGAAAGAATCCCTAATCCTTAATGCATTCATTAGGTATTGCCACTTGTGCCTAGTTTTACATTGCTTTTAGAGCAGCATAGTTAATAGGCCAAGTTTTGAACAGAATATATTTTCAAAAAGAACTATTTTCAATATTCTTGTCTAACAAAATTAGTTGGAAAGTAATCTACTATATAGTAATTGAAAGAAAATATTCTTCCCCTTAGTCTCAGGGCATGTCTTGTCTAGTTTGGAAAATTTATAGATACTCAAGACAGTTACCTTTATCACTCTTCAGCTTTCTAGATACAAAACAGAGCAGCATCAAAATGAAACAAACAGTAACAAATATAATAGCCCAAATAAAAAATGAATTTCCTGCAAGAGAAAGAAGAATAAAAATGTTTGAATCACACAAGCAGTCCACAAGTATTCTGAAGTGCAAGAATGATAGGTTGCCCTCCAGGACCAGAGTTAGGACTATATTCAGCACTACTGTAACAACCTAGCTAGCTTCTGTCCCAGGAAAGTCCTTATGAATGTTAGTCAGCCTGAACATGCAAGTACTAGTTCACATTGCAAACTACTGTCCCAGCAGCAGTTAGGGACTCTGTATAGCACTGCAGTACAATTACTACAAGGCTTTCAGAATAAACAGACAGTAAAGAAAGGAAACAAAAGTTGGCTTCACATGCCAAGATATCAGTAATCCAACTTTCTGCTCCTGTAGTCTGAGAGAGGCTACCCATCAGAGTGGGATACTTCTTTGTGCGATACTTCTCAGACTRACACGACACATGGAAGAAACCATTTTACCATCTATAACTTTAAGTAGTATCACTCARTACAGCTTTGGTAACTGTCAACACATTTTGCAGCAAGGCAAAAGTCTTGCTTGTAACAAAACTTAATATAGTAGATTAGTTTATCACTATAGTCCCTTTAGTAACTTCTCTTTAGTAAAGGACTTCCAGATTGGAAAATAGAAGCTCTTTAAATAMGTCTTAACAACTCAAGCCTCTCTTTTACAGGCTGCTTCTTTGTCATTCACTGGAAGAAAGGGACCAAGCAGACCACATCGAGCGGCAGTTACCTTGACCAGGTAAGCTACATTCCAGGTCCATCGTAGCATTGCAGTTCTGGACAATTTCTTTTCCTTCTGGGCACCTGAAGCAGATAAGACTGTTCATTACATTTCTAAAACAGCCATGCAATTCTGCTCAGGCCTGTTTTCAGGTTTAGCTGAATAGATACAAATAAAATATGCATAAAATAATATCTTGTTAGAAGAGCACCTTCAGACAACTTAAGATACTACAAGATTAAGTAGCAGCAAAGCAGGTGTTTCTTTTTTAAAAGAAAACCACTATATATATATATGTTAGTCTCTACTTTGAGGGACAGGAAGGAGAAAAATGGATAGTTGCATTACTCAAGCATTCCTTTTAACAGGTGTTTCTACCTCAAAATTTCAGGTTGGCTGCTGCTACCGAAAGCTCATTCATGTGTATATGTGAAAAAAGCTAYCAAAGACAAACGTGACTAATGTGTAAGCATACAGCAACAAGCCACAAATATAATGCTAACAAAATCCATACCTTTCTAAGCCTCAAACTTGTGTACTCTAAAACACAAAACTTAAATGCATGAATAATGCATTAWATCTATTGGCTTTAAGAGAATTATTCCCAAGTAAATAACATGTTAGGTATTGAAAGGGATTGGGTCCCAGTTTGCATATTTAAGATGCTTACATTCATTATTACACTTACTTTGTACTACATTTCTGACACATTTCACAGCCCTCAACAGGGCAGAAGTACCCTTCTTTGCATTGACATTCAGTATCACGCGTCAGAGTGCAGGTCCTCAAAGTTACCTGATCTACAAAGAAAATTTAAGTCAAAAAAAACCCAAAAAACATAAGGCTTCCAAATYAAGCAAGGTGTACAGGTTCTAATGTCAACAATGTTGTGTTCAGTACCATCTTTGCACTGCTTGCATGGCAGACATCTCTCCAAGCCATTTGGATGAGCAGTATAGTCTTCTCCCTCAATGCAAGGGGCACAAATTGCTCTCAAGTGTGAAGCACTGCAGTGCTGAGCAACATAATAACCTGTCAAAGAGAAGAACCAGCAGCAGCATCAAGCTATCATTTAACACATGAAGGAGCATAACAGGCTGTTACAACATAAATAGTTTTGATCCAAGTTCACTCAACTCTGCTTCCACTTTTAAATGCCCATTCAGAAATACGAGGACTCCTCAGGGCCTGCTCTTAATGTTCACTGCCTTTACAAATCAGTTCTGAACCCTTCATCCTTGGCAGTGGGCAGGCTAAGGCCTCTTCCCGTCATCTCCCTATTGCATCACTTCAAAAGAGAGCATTAGAAAGTCAGCACTACCTTAAGAAAAAGWTCAACTTTCACCACATTCAGCATAAAAAACAAGAACACCAAAACTAGAAGACACACACTCACAAAAAAAACATCCCAAACCCTTATGAGAATGTATCTGCCTGAAGTCCTACCTGCTGGACAAGATTTGCAGCAGTAACCTTCATACGAATATTCTCCTTGATCACACTCATTCGCTCTGCTTCCAAGGATCGTCAACAACATAACCTACAGAGACAGACAAGCACTTTCTGTGAATCATCTTTCCCCAACATGATACCATCTCAGGGAGATGTTCCTGCAAAGACTTGGAAACACTCGCATGTTCACGGGAAGCCACAAAGGAAACCCAAACTAATTTCTGCTAAGTACTCATCACAGAAGCAATTACTGTCAAAGGACAGGTTAGATCGGTGAGATGCAGTTTAAGAGGTCCAGCAAAATAATTTTAGGAAGCTACCAACTCCCACCTCTACTTGTTCTAACATCATTCTCTTCCCCAACCCCCATTAATAACAGATTGCAAGCAAACATCGGGGCACTGCTAGGAAGTGAAGTTTCTGCCTTGTGCAAGCAGGGCAGCCTCACTCTTCTTGCTTTTTTTTTTTTTTTTAAATAAAATATGGAAGGGTCAACACTTCTTTCTCCAGCAAGATAAGCACTCAACAGCCTGCAGGGAACATTAATTGCTGGCGTTAAACAGCAAAAATAAGTTACTGTAACCACAACAGCATTAAGTTAGAGAAACAAAATAGAACAAACGAACTAAAAAGCAACTAAAGAAAACCGAGCAGGAAGTGGCCCTGTAGGATCGGCCTGTCCACATTCCCGGGACGGCCAGGAAGCGGTGCCGGCTCCCACCTACCACAGCCGCCGAGCGCCTTATATCGGACAGACCCGCGCAGCCAGGCGCGGGGGAAACGGAGCAAGGAGCAAAGATCAATGAGAGAGCAGCGCCCAAGCGCTCTCGGCAGGGAAGGGCCAGGCAGAGATCCACGTGGGTGCTCGCCGCCCTCCTGCCGCCCGGGAGCCTTTCCCTGGAACTGCGTAGTTCCCTAAGCCGCAACTCTGACGGTCGGATAATTGGGATGCCATTGAAAAATTAGTTCCCCTACTTGTAATTTTCACGAGGGAGAAGAAAATAAATAAAAACACGGCGGTTGGGGCTGCCGCTACGCAAGCTCGAAGGAGCTGTCCCGCTGCGAGAATGGCAGCCCCGCTCCCTCCCCGCTCTCCACGGGGCTCCTGCCTCGCCTGGACTTTCCTCCCCTTTCAGGCTCCGGCCTGGGAGAGCTCTGAACTCCCGCACAGGGAACGGGAATAGGGAGCGCAGGAAGAAAAGCGCTGCCCGAAAAGGACCCGCTGCCACCGCCGCGCCGCTCCCGGTGCCGTGCCCATGCCCATGCCCGGTCCCGCACTCACCGCGGCCAGGAGCGGCCGGAGCGCCGCGCGCGCGCCCATGGCCCTGCCCGGCCCGCGCCGCTGCCGCCGCCGCTGCCGCCGCCGCTGGCGCTGCCCGGGCGGCGCCGCAGCCGCGCTTTATCGGCCACACCTGCCCCGCCGCTCGCGGCCCACGAGAGGGGCGGGGAATCTCCCCACAGGCTGGCCGGCATAGCAGGGGATTTCTCCCTCTCTTTCTTTTTCCTTAAAAGGACTCCCAACTCTTTTATTTTTTTCCACACGTGCTCTCGTTGCTACAAAAGTAACCGCGCTGCTGCCCATGCTTCAAAATCCTCCCGTATGGGATCCTGTGCAATGTGCTATATGTGACCCTGCTTGTGCAAGTGGGTTTGTGATCTCTAGGTGATCTCTACAGGTCCCTTCCAACCTCAACCACTCTGGGATCCTGTAAAATGCTTTCCCCCTCCCCACCCCCTACACATAGAACAGTCATGTCCAGGTGTTGAAATTGCCTTCAAAATTCAGGCACAAGGATGAATGGCCTTTTTYTGTTTTGTGTCTGGTTTATTTTTAAATCATCTGTAGATGTTGGAGACTCCTCTGCTGATGATATGTAATTAGTTTATGTAGGTAATAGTTTCATTTATCCAGCCACGCTTCTAGTAATAAAAACATTTGTTTTACTTGACTGCAGGAACAAGTTGCAGCGAAACCCCGGTGGGTGCATATTGCCCAGTAAAATGGAAGCAACACAGGGTGTTTCAAGCATTTCCTTGGCTAGTGCCTTCTTGTTCAATATTGCCCCCCCCCCCCTTTTTTTTAAAATAATTACCTTCTAAACCTGGAATGTATTTGTGGCAGGAAATCTAAAATACCCATACAGAGAAGGAAAGGTCCTATCACTACCTCTAATAGAGCATCCCACAAGGAAACCTGCGTGAAGAGGCAGACCCTGCTCACAGCAGCCAGAGATGTGCTGACTTGTTGAACAATGCCGAACATTTAAAGTGAGACAACTTAGACAGGAAATTAGAACCTGTGTTGCACATGAGGAGCAAACATTTTCAAGATTCCTAGGTGACTTTGTATAGCCAGGCAGATACTTCAAATGTTTCTTTTGAGGGATCTGTTGTCACAGTTTTACACTGCATATAGCAGAGGTTAGCCTGTCCCAAAAATGAGCGATTAGGATAACATCCTCCCCAAAGGATCCCACTTCAATTGAGTATGTCACAGATGCTGAATCTTTTGTTTTCCTGAAACTTTTTTTTTAATAGTATTATTATTTTTATTTTTCACTTATTTTTTACTTATTTCTTACTCAAACCTCCAGATGCTGGTTCCTACCCTATCTTACCATGTTAGAGAGTTGCGCTTTTCTCCCCATCTGATTACCTATTCACTATAGAAAGCCCTAATACTAAGGAGGTAACTCGATTAAAGACAAGTCTGCAAATTTATGTACAAAATCAAGCCTCAAAATCAAGCCAAGCACTTTGCTTTCTATTTTGCTGAAGTCACTACACTTAAAAGACATAACACTAGTGCTGATCTAAATTGGGGTCTCTGTCTGAAGCTCTTGCATGTCTTTTCCTATTGTTTTCCTTTGTCATGGCCTAACAGTTGACAGCTTGCAAAATGCTTCAAAATACTAATCTAAGTTCCAACACAAAAATAATGTCACAGATAAACTGTCAGTGAAAGTTGTGTGTAGTTTTATTTCAACATATCAAGCACAAACAGGTTTCCCCTAATTGGGGAATATGACAAGGAATGTAGTTAAAAATTTGGAAACATTTACATTGAAAGTTAGCCCGGACTGGCACCACCACTAAGTATTTTAAGGCTGTATATATAGCAGTACTTACCACTTGGAACTACTTCAGGCCAGAAAAGAAAGGCTTAGTATTGTCTGCTGTCTACATAAAATATTGCAGATCTTTAAAAAAAGTTGTAAAATAGGAAGACTATTAACAGAGTTGAACAATGCAGTGGCAAAACCCTTCTTCCTTCCTGACCTTTGACGATAAACGTGCCTATGATCGAACATACATACACCTCCACTTGCTCCCACTCTTGTCATCTATTTTAGGGCAGTGATTCCTCTCTCAAGTGCTAGTGTGTGATATTACAAAACAGCCATATAGCAAATAATAACAATAAGAATATGGAACCAGGTTTTACAAACAGGCATGTCCGACATTTCACTCCGTTGGCCTGGTCCAGGACATGAATCAGCTCTGTAAAAGAACAAGGAGCTTTTACCAAATACTTCCCGTTTCCTAAAGAAGAACAGCTCTAGGAAATCGTGCATATTTACAGTTCTTGTGGAATGGAAAACAAAACACATTCGGAGGTCCCGTTCTGTGTGTGCTGACAAAACAAATCRTGGTCTAATACGCAGGGGGTGAATTTTTTGGACCAAGTGTTGCTACCTCCCCTAATTAAATGCAGCTGGACAGGCACCAYGAACTTTTTTTTACAGCTCCCCAGCTGCATTCCCTAAGTCATATAAAACAGACCTGTGTGACCCTGCCAAAATGCTGGGGTGTTTACTATTTTTGGGGTATCAATACTGGTGGGTAATTATTAATTGCATCAGAAAATGACAAGACATAGAAACAAATTGCACAATTAAAGCTACATTTGGCTTCAGCATTAAGGCCCATACAGGTTAAGAGGTCCTTGAAGATGTACATGTAAAAGGCAAAAATGACGTAATCCAGAGGAACAAAGTGTTGCAGGTTCCTAGGTCCCTTTTCACCTTGTTTTACAACTTGCTTCCACCTCCGCCGCGTTGGTTCTAAAGTGCTTTGGTGCCTCGCCGGGCTCCTTGTGCGAGTGGCCCCCCCTCCTGCAGCCAGGAATCGTTATTGCTGCCAAACGTAGTGCTTTTATTTGAGGACATAATTAATGAACAGTTGGCATGTGAGAAAGATGCACAGGAGAAACCAGCAGCGAGAGTCCAGAAGGAAGCTTCCAGAAGAGCCCTTCCTGTGGAAGGATTTTTTGTTCAGAGAACTGAGGTTTCTGCAAGAGAAAACAATAGGCTTATTTGCGTGCCAGGGACAGGCGTGCATGCACTCGCGTGTGTGCACCCAGAGCCCCAGGGTTTGCACACAGGCAGGGATCCTGGCACCTCAGCATTTGCCAGTATTTCATTAACCAGGAGTGAACACCACTTGGCTTCTCTCCAATGCTGCGGTGGCAACAGTTGGTGATTTAAATCGAAAGTGTGAATGCTACTGCTTTGCAGGCATGAGCCCAGGGCTGCAGCTCAGCAGACAAATTTGTAACAGACTCAATGCCTGATAATGAGAGAAACCTGTGCTTTCTTGCCTTGCAGAGATTGATAGCCAGCACCTTGTCCAGCCCCTCCAAACTCCTGCAGCTGGAAGTGTCACGGTTCTCACTGTGCTTTTTACGCCATGAAGGGATTTCATCACYGGGCGCTGGCTTTGTGTTTCCGATGTGTTATGTAACCTCGTGACACAGTTGCTAATTGTACCCAGTCAATTCAGAGGCCATTGCAGACACAGGTTATTTCTAACCCATTATGATCAGGCTTTGGTGGGGAAAAACGGTTACCTGTGTATGTCCTGTTGGGCTTTCTGCAGGGATAAGACAGCCGAATGTATTTCCTTCAAGTGATTCATCTCTTTCCCACACTGAGTGCACAAACTTTCAAACCCTGCATCAAAGTAATGAAGAACATCATGTTTTGCATTACTATCTCTGCTGGCAATAGTGAAACACCTACCAGGCTCACCAAGGCTCTCCCCTGACTGTGTGACAAACCAAGGAGGACTCCTTCAGGAGAAAGCAGGGAAGAGGGAGACGGAGGACAGGATCCTCCACTCTGGATATGGAGGTCAGTGGAAAGGGTCTGGTGACACCGGCTCAGGGCCACCTCTCTGCTGTCARGAAACTTCCTTTTTTTTTTTTTTTTTTTTTTTTTTTTGGCAGAAAACCCAGCACGCTCCCTTGCTATGGGGAATGCTGTGCTAACACCTGTCCTCATCTCAGAAATAATCAAGGTCACCCCCAACAAAAGCTGAGAAAAGGGAGTGAGAAACTAGGTCTGCTTCCTATCTGACTGCTGGAATTTCAGTGCATGTTTTTCTGACGTACTTGGGCCAGGAGCTGAGAAGCCCTTGTTGACACGGAGAGCATGAGAAAAAAAGAGCAGGAGAGGTGAGCAAAAGAAATATAAAAGCAGAACTTCCTCTGCATTCGTCTATGGACTACATGCCCTCAGTATTAACCAGCTGGGTGGTGTCCAGATTCCAGGACTAAGTGCATTAAAGGTGATACCCAAATACTTGCCGTCATCATCTGACAACTCCTGCACAGACTCGGGCGTTGAACAACTGCTCTCTGTGTTCTGGCTGTGGTTGGATGGCTGATCACTGGCTTTCCGGCGCCTGCAATCCTTGGCAGACCTCTAGATAAGTGAGCATTAAAGGAGACTTGGTCACTGTCAAGTTGAACATTCCTCACATCTGTGAGACTGTGCAACCCGATCGCTTCCTCAACAATCTTTAGCCTCCAGGCAGCTAGTTAAGGATTTTACACATATGCCCTGTACAAAAGCATTTTCTCAAACGGTAACATCTTTAGGAAACCCATCCATGTTATTCTTGTCCTAGCTTTAAGTGATGCATGCTGGTGATGAAATTTATAGTCATTCTCCTGAGTTGTTTATTCACCAGTGGTTTATAAGAAAGGATGAAAAAAGATTCATAACAAAATTTTCAGAAGAAGGAAGATTTTCAGGGCCAATTTTTTCAGCAGGTTCCTACATGACTTAAGCATCACAGAACTCTTGTTTTTCAAGTCCTGATGCTTTTTGTGAGGTTTCTTCCTACCTCTAGGATGGACAAACAAAACCTATTCACTCAAATACTTCTTATCAGAGAGTCTGAAAACCAATTCTGAACCGCAACTTTCCCATTGTTTCAGAGATGTTCACATTTTGGCTATTACAAAAGAAAAGTCTACACTCATAATAAGATAYGCGTTCTTCAGTGTAGTAGGGATTATATCTAACTGGCTCAGCAGTTCTACGGTTACAAAGCATTTTATGAATGACATAAATTGCTCCAAAGATGAATGCAGTGAAAGGTGAAAGCATYGTCCCTCTTCAGCAGAAAGGACGGACAGAGGTTACAAGTCCTACCTAGAAGGACGTAAGTAATAAAGGCAGATGACAAGGCCTGAAAATTGAGTTGCAGACCCTTAGTTTTGAACTCTGACACTTTGCTCACATCTTGTTACGCTGGAAACACTGAACACATCAGCCATATTCTGAACCCAGTGTCAGCGACACTAACACAGAATGGGAAGAAAAATACTAAAAAGGATAGGACATGTCAAAAAAAAAAGTATGTGCAACTCTGGAGATGTTAGTCATATTCACCCCAAACCAAACCTTTCAGCCTACAGTGTCTTTGCATAAAAATGCTGCAGGAAAGAGCTCGTCTAGTCAGTCGCAAAGGATGTTACACTTCCCTTGAAAGGCTTTTTACCTTGTGCCGGGTAACTTGGTTGTTTATGCATGTCATTTTGTGGTTTGACATCCCTGTGGATAAGTGTCGCTCCATGGTCTGAAGTATCCCGTTCTTCTCAAATTGAGCAATGTCATTCAAAGGATCCCAAGGTCTTAAACTTTGGAAAACAAAGGAAAGAATCAGAAAAGCAAGAATTCCCCCAGATGTGTGAAGAGCAGTGCACCAGTTCCAGATGCACCAGGGCGAACCCTCAAGAAGAGGTTCAGCCAAAGCATCATGTGGTGCAATGACATTTCACTACATACACAGCACCCACCAAAAAGTGAGAGTGATTCAGTCCCCAGAGGCTTCACCCGTAATGTCAAGGAAGACCAACACTGTCGGTTCTGTTTTGCTGCTCATGGCAGCAAAATGGATTTGTATCAAAAGCACTGCAGATCTGCCATCGCCATGCCCTCATTTCCAGCTATTCCCACCTTATTTATTTATTTATTTATTTATTTATTGAATCAGGAGTATATTTTCTAGTAACGCCCTGCAGCTCACAAAGAGCAAACTCTGGGCACAGTGTGGGGAATGGCAGGACAGCCTGGCCATGAGAACAGTGGCTGCAGGCTGTGCCTGCAACCTTGCTTGCTGTACGTGGTCTCAAACAACAAGGCCTGCTCCTAGCCCACGACCCTGCCACTCACTCCTCATATTTGTAGCGCCATTCGTTAGTGACAGCGTCGTGCTGGAAGAGCAGCGGTTTCCACTCTGTGCCGTTCTCCTTCCGCTCCCGGGCAGCGTTTCTCTGCTCTTCTTCCAGCACAAATTTTTCCTGCGTTGCCTTGTGCTGATCACCTTTGTTTATTGCACTAGTTACATGCTGCCAAAGCCTAGAAGTAAACACAGAAGCAAGTGAAACTGCCATAAAAAGGCAAAGTATTTTGCCACCTGRAACCTTAGCAGCTGCTTTTCTCATCTCTTGATACTCTAGAGGAATTGTAACAGGATTAGTCAGCCTCAGTTTTCACTAGTAAATTGAAGATTATGAGAATGGTAAAGATGAATGCTGTGTGTACAAATCTATCAAAGAAAGGGTGACCTTTTCATTAGATAACATCACCTACCATATTCATTAAAATCTCCAGTGCGAGGAGTTTTGCTCAGCTTACTCAGGCGAGTAGCCTGTTGAGGGGCAATGGATGTATAATGTAGCATCTGTTATCTTCCCGGCCCTTTCAATCATGTATGTTTAGATGCTTTTTTGCTAATCTCTATCCCTCAAAGCCAGCCTTTACATTCAAAGCTGAGAAGCTCCAGTAGGCGAATTTGTGTTCAAGGCTTGCAGCTGCATGTTTTATTCCACACACAATTAGTAACCAGAGGAAGCGAGTTCAGCTTGCAATAGCTGGATGTGCATTTGTACTTGTGAGCTGCAAGYATGTACAAAAGTTTTCACTCACACTTTTTTTCTGGTGCAAAAAGRCAACTAATTTGTCATATGATGTCTCGCTGAGACTCTTTTATGAAGGAAAATCATTACCTCATTTTCACTATAGCCATAAAGACCAAAATGTGTCAGTCTTCTCTATAGCTCCTCTAACCAGAGCACTTTAATCTTCAAATCAGACCGGATACACTTTTGAGATTAGCAGCTAGCACTTCCGAAACATCACTACATTACTTGTTAGTCTACTAATTAGAATAAGCATCAGCAGTCCAGCCTGCTCCAGTACTCACAGCTCTACAAAACACCAGTTCTCCCTTTAATGGGTTGATGCATTACTGCATTTAATCCAGGGCCTCCTGTGAAGCTCTTAATTTAAAAGGGATACTAATGATTTCATAGTTAATATGTCCAAAGGAGCAATTTCTTAGATAATTAACCGAAGGCAGAGAAACATTTTTCCTGTTCTATTTGACACATCACTTCCCCCATTCTCTTGTGAATGAACCTTTTCTTCTAGAAACAAAGCTTGGTATGTTATGAAACACTCAAAATAATAGTCTGAGAAAATAATGTAGCAGCATAAAGAGCCATTCTTCTAATTCTGGAAGCAGAGACTGGGAAGACATAAAAYTACATCATGGGCACCAATGACTCCATTAAGGCTGCATGTGCCCCACATGAACTTTGAAGACTGCCAAGTGTAGGTGTAAACAGGCGATTTTTGGCACTGCAGACAGATCTAAGTGCTTCAGACAGTGACATARCCTGGATTAGACAGCAATTTATTCATGTAACTGTCAAGATAATAATGAAGCTGGGTGGCAYGTCTCTTAGGGATCTCCAAAATGTCTCCTTTTGCCTCCTTCACCCCCACACATATGTCACTGCTAACCTCTGACCGAGCAAAGGGAGTCTGCTCTGGCAGTACCCTGCTAAATACAGAAATGGAAATCCTTTGTCCTCAGTACTGGTATTTCTCCTATTTTAACAGAATCTTCTTCAGAAGATTTAAAGAAGAAACGTGCTCCAGTCTGCTCTGATCTTGTGCCAAACGTAGTGTTACAAAAGGGTATGGTGCTTGCCTAGACATTAATGCCCTTAATGCCCACTGCTGTCCAGATGACACTCAATGCTCAGGTGTATTTTTTTGGCATTGGATAAGTGTGTTTGTGAGACAGCAGCATTGGCTGGTTTGAATGGGGTGCCACATGACATTGCTCCAGTTCTTGTCCAAGCACTGGCTCCTCTGGTGCTAGATCTGGGCTGCTCTGCAAGCCCCTGTGCCATGAAGTCCTTCCTTCCATTCCTTAAGTCATGCACAGTGATTATATTATCAGGTGAATCTGGATTCACCTAATAAATTCAGAGCACACTGTATTGGAAAGATCAGCTGAAGTTATGAGGAAGGCTTAAACATTGTTTAATTAGGTTCCCTCACAAAATCTCGTTATATGATTCAAACTATTGCACTGCTCAAGCCAAAACACTCATGTTCTCTGGGGTTCTGGAAGAGTTATTATTTTAGCAGAYATAAACCAGCCTCTACCATTTCTCAACCCAGCTACCTGGTTATTTCAGAACGTCACTTCAAGGAAATACCTCAAAATTAAAAGACTATAACAAAACAGGACAACGGCAGGGTTATATATGTGAGCAAAGTGAGGTCACAGTCTTTCCAGGGATGCCCCGGGAAATAAGAGCCCACAGAGTTCTGCTCAGTCCGCAGGGAGGAAGCAGCAGGGAGGTGTCTGCAGGGCTTCCTACCTCTCTGACTCGAAGTCCGTCTGCTCCTCAAAGAGCACAATGTGGCGCTTCAACCTCTGCCGTCGCACCTCACTTGTCGGGTTCCAGAATATTTCCGTGTTCCCGCTTTTCAGCTCATTTATGTGCACTTCTCCATCCTCAGAACGGAAACCAAGTGAAAAAGTTAGTGACAATCAGAAATATAAGGCAGAAACTAGCTCTAGCAAATGCAAACCCAATGTAAGCTGATGGTGACAGGAGGACTTGGTCAGGGCTGTTTTCTTTTCTTCCATCAAGACAACAATAACCAAGAAGGAGATATCTAAATATAGACGAGATAAATACCTAAGTCTCCAGTCCGGTTACGAGGAGCTCCCAACCACAGCTCTAGGCTATGTCCTTCACCATGCAACTTCACTTCTACTGGGCTTTAGCTTATGTGTGCCTTTGAGCTCTTCACACATGGCTGCTAGGCATGTAACAGCATTGACAGGTCTGGTGTCTGCTGTGAGCTTTCCTTATGGACATAACCTCATGGCATCTGACTCTCTGCTCTTTACCTCAAGAGAAGAGGAATATAATCTTCTATCACATGAGTTTGCTGTGGATAGCCTGGTGCCTGGGACAGTTACGTAATGGATKCAACAAGACAGAAGGAAGTGTCCTGTTTTTCACAATCACTTTAAGGTCAACAACCTGTCCTTGTTTGTCCACTGCCATCTTCACCCRCTTTAAATCTAGGACCTTCACAAAGAGCCACTGGCTGCAATGGAAGCTCTCCCAACCACTTCCAGCTTCAGCCCAGGCAGGTGCAAGTTGTTATTTGAGTTATTGCACTCAAGGTGGATAAGATCACAGGGACTTAAATGCCATCACTGTCAAGTGTCAGCAACTGCGACTGTTGGTTCTTACCCAGTGGCCATCGAGGCTTGCTAGCACTTCTTCTCCTGACTTAATCTTCCCGGAGATTTGATTAATGCTTGTGCTGCCACCGAAGAAGGGCTGCCAGAGGAGGAAAAAACAAAACAAAACAAAAAGAGAAAATATGATCTGTCTAGTGAGAACTGGAAGGGAGCCAAACACAGTGACACAGCAGGAGAGAAGAAAACTGCAACCTGCTTGATTTCCACTGTTTCTAGGGAAAGGCAGAATCAACTTTAGCATGGATTTTAACTACCTGCCATTGTTGCCTCCTGTGTGTTTACAATACCGATATTACTTGCAGAAGACATGTGAAGAAAGAGACATTAGCATTTATATGCAGGACTGCAAAACCTGGCCCTCACTGCAAATACATTTACTGAAAGCTACGCTTCAGGATACAAGTGTTTTGCTAAGTTCTCCTCTAYATCCAGCAATACCTCACATTATGTCAGCAAAGGCCAGAACTATAAACCCCTGCAGGCTCTGCTCTCCATGTTTCAATTTACAGGCAAGAAATTGTTTGCTGGAGCAGAGCAGAAATGTCCTTTCCCTTGTCCAGAATGACACTGGAGCTCCCATAGCTGTTCATGCAGCCTCCTCTAAAGAGGGGGAGCAGCACGAACGCATCTCATGACTTTTCTTTTTTCCCAGGCCAGCCACGGCAGCCTGGCACTGCTGATAGCTGCATCTGCATTAAATCTCCAGCCTGAAGTGCTCTCATCAGCAGCAATTGAAAAAAGAAAAGGGTATTTCCAGAGTCACAGAAAAGATTCTCAGAACAACGGAAAATTTCCTTCACCTCCTGCCTGCCAAACACAGGAAACAGAAGCGACGGAGTGGCCAGCCTCTCCATTTCTGCCATGCAGTATGTCATCAGATATAATAGCTGCTATTTTCACAGAATCGCAGAATGGTTGGAAGGGACCTCTAGAGATCAGCTAGTCTAATCCCTCTGCTCAGACAGACATTTTCACACACATTTTCTAATAAGTCTGCGGAGAGGAACATTTTATTTTTATTTTTTTTATTTTTTATTTTTTTAACAAACAAAACACAAATCACACAGAACACATTGTGTTTCATACACAAACCAGCAGAGAACTGGCACACATCCAAAATAGTAACAAAATCTACTGAAAACAGTGAATAAGAAACACTCAAAGCAGAGCACACTGCTAAACTACAAGGACCTCTGCAAGAGCCAGGAAAGAATGGCATGAATTTTAGGCTCTGAAATATTTGTAGGTTTGAGATGACACTGGCTGAAGTCAGGGAAATACTCAATTGCCCTCAGGGGAGCGTGTTATGTCTATGGGAAGAATGGGCTTTAAAGACAAGAGTATGCAAATGTCAGAGAGGGACATATGGAAAAATAGTTCTCTTTGGAAAGGCAAATAAAAGAAAATAAAGATAAATATCCCCAGAAAARGTGTTTTGCTAAGTTCTCCTCTGCATCCAGCAATACCTCACATTATGTCAGCAAAGGCCAGAACTATAAACCCCTGCAGGCTCTGCTCTCCATGTTTCAATTTACAGGCAAGAAATTGTTTGCTGGAGCAGAGCAGAAATGTATGCTTTTTTAAAAAAAATTTAACCGTCCAAGAAAAGCTACAGGTCACCGCTTTCTTTCCCAAGTTTGATCACACAGAACTTTAACAATGTTTACAGTTGCCTTCATTTTATCTGCATTCCACGAATTTTGCAATGCCCAGTCTCTCTAGGGGAAGGAATTGCTGCTACATGAACCAGTCAGCCTGAGGCAATGATTGTGCAGCTCTCCAGCACCTCAATCACTCCAAATCTGCTGCCTGAAAAGAGGCACTTGGACTACCATAATAGCATGGTCCTGTAGTCTTCAGAAATACAGGGTTCATCAGATAGTTCTGCAAGTCAAGGGTATATAGGCACAGGAGAGCAACACCAAAGATGTACCCTACCTTTAGCTTGAATTCCAGTTCTGCCCGGTGATTAGTTTTCTCACAGTCGATGGTAACTTTCCCTCCAAGCTCCATTGTCATTGTACCATATAAAATTCCTGAAAGAGGTAAAAAGAGAATTAAGAGGGTCCTCAATGGTATTCATCYGCTTTCTGAATTCAGAGTGACTCTCACTGGCATGCTATAAAATTTGTGGCTTAATTTTTTGAAAAGACAGGGGACAAAGTTTCTAGGAAATGTCTGTCCAGCCTAGGCATCAAGAATCCTCTCCCAAATCCGCCTTCCCTGCTCTTTAGCCCACCTAGGGAAGGGCTTGACAGGTGGCATCTGTGCCATGGTGATGGTGAGAGAGGGAGAGTAACTGAAGTTGCACCCAGCAACTTCATTTACACTTGTTTATGAACAGCCCCAGCTGCTTCTCTCATGGGGCAGAAGGGAGTTGTGATGAGACTGAGTACACTTTCTTCTGACAGAATCAGGAGGACTAGCAATTGTGCAGGAGATTATTTTTTACATGTGCTTGCCATTTTCTGAAAAAAAACTTTTGCAAGGAAAAAAAAAGTCAACAGAAAGATTTATGCACGTAAATAGTTTCCAGGAGGCACAATTTATGGAAACTACTGTTTTCAGATAGCTCAGCTCCATAAAGATTACCTGACAGGTAAAACATGAGAAGGTGAAAAAATATTAATAGCCCAAACTGTGCTGAACTGCTGCAGGAACCATTTTACAACTGCAGCTCAAATCCCACCTGGGCTTAGTTTGCTAAGGAGAAACGCAGAGTTACAGCAGTGAATCAGCCCATCCCGTCGGCTTCAGTGCATGTTCAGAGCAAAGCCAATTCTGTACTTGCCCACAATATTAAGTATCAATCTCACTGAGGCAGCTCATTCACAATTAGATTAATAGAAAAATCAGGAAGAAATCAGGACTTTTTAATCCTTTACTCTCAGAAAAACAGAAAATATTACACAATTTCTATGTTAACATAAACAACTTTACAACCTCAGAGGTTTGAAAATGAACTTTTATTTTTTCCATCTTCACTTTAGCTGCAATACATATATGGAGTATTTTCTAGTTTATACATAGTGTTAAAACTAACTTCCTAATTCTGTCCTCAGCTCTGCATGGGCAAATCAGAAAGACTTCAGTGACCATTTCCAGTCCCCTTCTGTGTCCTACAAATCATTCATGAAGCAGTCGCCTCCCAGAACTACCAGGATCTGCAGTGCATGGTGTCTGGGAGGTAAGAGAGTCAGGACAAAAATAGTAAGGTATCACTATGTTATTCTTTCTATTTGCTCCTGGCATCCTAAGTGAATAGTTATAACTTACCTTTACAGTGAGCATATGGCATAGTAATGATGTAATCTTCACTCCTATTTAGAAATGTAAGCTTTGCTTTCCCATCCAACAATGCAGAAAGCGAGTTTCCTAGGATTTAAAAGAACAAATTCATAAATATTAAAGAGCATGATTTACACAGCTGCTCATCTTATTCTACTTGCTCATCTTATTCTACCTCCTCATCTTATTCTACTTATTCTATATTTGCATTCAAATGTAGGTCTTTAGTGACAGAAAAGATAGGAAATGCTCAGAGTTCAGGACAGAGTAAATCATTTACTGTTGGAGGCAGCAGTTTTAATAGACTCTGCATGGGAGGACTCTTTCTTTGCTCCAGCATGTAGTCCATCCTGGAAAGGGCAGTAGATGAAATGAGCCATTTGTGGGATGAGGAGAGCACCTGGAGGGCTTTAGAAGTTTTCCATATCCTCCTCGTGTTCTCACAACTTCTGGCATATGATCCCAAATAACACATCAAACTGCCAGAAGGATAGCAATGACTCTTTAAAAATGTTTCAGCAAAATACTCCTACCTGAGGATATTGTTCAAGAAGTATTTGTCTTAACAACAACAAAAAGTCCCATTATTTTAAATAAGGTCATTGTTTAAGAGCCTGTAGCTCTCCTCCTACAGGACAATGAGACGAACAAATTTGAGGACATTTTAAAGCTCTAGGTTTCCATTCCTAGAAATCTGAGAGCTCAGTAAATCAAACACATTTATGTAGAGACTGCTGCACAAGTCAGCTGGATCATCAGATCTCTCTGATTTGTGAGCACATGCAAAGTAGGCTGACAATCAAGTGTCCACAAATCCACATGAACTTTTGCTTTTTGAAAACCAGGTTTCCAAAGCCCTCAAGATTTCTAGCTGATATTTTTTTCTATAAATGATCTCCCACTGAGATGGTGGAAATGTAAAGGAGCAACAGGAGATCCCAGACAAGCAGTTAGTGTGTCCTCATGGTCAATGTTCTAAGCATTTCTCTGCTCCGAACCCTTAACGTGCTCAGGAATGGTTGCAAAACACAACAAAACCATTGTCACAATTGTCACCTGGAAGACACCTATGCCTCACGTCTTACCATAAAACTTGGACCTCGCCAGAATGCTGCCGCTGATGCAGAACCCATCCTTCCTATTGCTGACGTGGAAGGCTGACACCGGTGGGTGGTGAGAAACCTAGATGAAAAACAGCCATATGTCATTAAGAGCAGTCCTTAGGGTCCAAGCAGAGTGACAGATGGACACACAACCCCAAGGGGCTCTTGGGAAAGCACAAGACGGAGGCCATATGACTGAATAAGGTCCTATGAGCTCCATTCACACTGTTCATCTCAGTGTTAGAGCGGAACAGCTAACATGAGCAACAGAACTCCTGCTTGACCCTTTTTCCCCACCCCACACTTTCTTTCCCTTGTATATTTGAGATCACTTTAGGCCTGAAGATGCCTAGAAGATGTCAAATCTTCTAGGCAAAAAATGACAGGCCAGTTCACGGCAGATTTTGGGTTTTTTTAGCGCTATCTGAATAACCTCTCTGAACCTGAATAAATGAAAGGGATACACCATTTGAAAATAAATAAATAATAATAAAATAATAATAAAATAAAATAAAATAAAATAAAATAAAATAAATCCTTTGATTAAGTAGAAAAAAAGAAGTAAAAAACCAGAGAATTCATGTAGCAAAATCCACATAGTTTTCAGATCCCCTTAGCTATGTAAATCTCAAACTAAATTTTGGCAGACCAGTTTACTTGTGAATTTTGCCCTCCTTTTATCTCCAAATATAGGAGATAAGCCTTCAGGATGGCAGGTTTAATAATAACTCTTTTAGGTGGTCTATGCCCTTTTTGAAAGAGGGAATAGAAACCACAGCAATGTTTTATTAACAATAAGCAGACAATAATAATTCAGAGAAATAGTCTTCACTGAAGAGGCTAATAAATCAACGTTATATGTGGAGGACTTGCATTTCCAGTCTTGAGTCCCTGCCAAAGTTATTAGTAATCTTTGTAAATCTAAAGAGAAAAAARAAAAAAAAAAAAAGAAAACAGCAGCTACTTTACTCCATGTCCCACTCTGTCTGTTGCTACACAAATCTCTTCTTCTGGGGTGAGATGGGGAAAGTAGTTCTACAAACAGAGGCACCCAAATCGAGCAACTTGCCTGTTCTGCTATGTAAAATGTGTGGCTGTTCGTCTGAGGGTGAAACCAACAGCAGCGGAATGTCTCTCCCAGGATAGGGTTGTATGGCTTTTTTATTCCCTGAAAAACAAAGCAACCCAAACCTGCTAAAAACAAAGATCTGCAATCCAACTTTACAGAGGTAGTCACAGAACAATACAGAACTTTTATCTCTCATGTTTTTCACCAAGTCAATTACAAGAATCAAACCAAAGAAGTGACTATGGACATTCTCCTGGTCTTACCTCTTTACCTGAGCCATGGATCCACCTGCTATTTCTGCTTTGAGATGCCCAAGCTTCATTATTTCTGTGACTATAGACAGCATGTACATACTGATGTGGCACTATGGTATTATCAATTTTGAAACTCGGAAAAAGAGACCTGCTTTCAACCAATCTTGCATTCTAGGAATAAATACTTGCTGATGATTAGTTCTGCCTCCCAGCTGACCACTGCAAAGCTCTGAGTTAATCAGTACTTTTACACATGAAGATTACCACTATCTGCTTTAATTCCACCCCAGCATCAAACACAACTTTTAAAACAATGTAACCTGGAAAATCTTTGGAACAATAGAACAGGCAAACAGTCAAAGGAAAGGCAATAAGGAAATACACAACTATAGTAGAAGATTTCCGGATGTAATGGGTATTGAATTTATACATGCTCTTACCTTTGGCTTCTTATAGAAGCCAGACAAATACCACCTCAAAACTTGCTTAATTCGACTGTATGGCTCTTCTTCAAGGGCAGCCCTGTAGGACAGGACAGAAAATGTGTATTTAAATTTCTTTTATATATTGATACCATTCACACATCCCATTCATTTCATACCAGCGTTATGACATTAATTTCAAAAGTCTTTCACCAGTACAAAACTGAAATTAACTTTTGTGCTGCTAACAGTGAAAAAGGTGTCTGCCAGCCAAAAAAAAAAAAGTTTCTTAGTGATGTACATCAAGCAACATGCACGCAAGCTCCTGATAATTAACACTCCTCACTCTGCACTCCTGCAAAAAGCCTAGTAAACATCCTGGGGTTTATCAGGTTTGATGGGAAATACTTTTGAGTATGTTAATGTGGGACTGCTACTCACACTGGCGTTTGGTTACAGTGAACAATACAATGTGGTTCAATACAATAATACTTATCCCTCTAAATCCAAGACTGATCTCATTCTCTCTCTTCTTATTTCCTCTTTGTTTAAAGATTTCAAAGCTGGTGTTACGTGGCCCTTTTTAGCCCACTGAGATTTCACAGAATAATTTAGGCTAGAAGGGACTCAAGCTCATCTTGTCCAATCTCCCACCCAAGGGTGACACGGGAAGTAAATGTTACAGTAGGTTTCCTTGCATTTCCAGCCCGCTCAGCTCTGAAAACTTATCTGGATAAATTCTCACAAAACGCATTTAGAAGGTGCATCCATACCACAAAGAAGTTTATTTAACAAAACCTTCACACCTCTCCAAGCTTTCAGAGATCTCAGCACTGAAAAGAGTCATTTCCTGAATTTTGTATGTTACAAATAGGACAAAAAGAGCTTGAAAATACCTTATAATTCTTAAATAATCCAGAGGTAGTTAGGTAAACATGAGCAACTTGTGCTGCCCACATAGGCTTTAAAATATACCATGCATATGCCACTGAGAAAGATGGTCCTATTTACAAATGTAACATTTTCTGTTTTCTACTCTGGTGCTCCTAGAAGTGTGCATCTGACCAAGGGTGTTAGAATATGATTCCCATGTATTTATAAGCCAAATAATGATACTGCTTTCTGGGACTGAAGCACTCAACAAGGCTTCTGCAGTTTGCACTCTGTCCCTCAGGGCTCTGTACACTGGTACACCAGGAGGTGGCACAGCACTGCTGCGAACACTCACAGGAACCAGTTGAATCCCCATCAGTTTCTACATCCTGAGCTTTCCTTGCTCCCTATACTCATATCCTGGCAGCAGTCCCTCTTTAGAAGGTCCCACTGGCTGCTGCTGCCTGGCTTGATTTGTTGTATATTATTCTGGATTACTCAGGAACCTCTCAGGAGTACAAGCTACCAGTGCCAGACTCACACTGCCACGTGTTCTGGTGCAAGTAAGAAATTTATGGACAGCCAGGTGTGCTCTGAGTGCTGCTTACTGGGAAAGCAGATCCGCGTGGTAGTAGTAGTCGGAGAGTTTGTTCAGGAACGAGCGGGGCTCCAGGATGAAGGTGGGCAGCACCACGCGGGACAGGTCCATGCCTGGCCGCAGCTGCTTCAGCAGGATCCACATCAGGCTCTTGTTCTCCTCTGAGACAGTTTCTGTCTGAGATGACTCACCTGTCTGATGAGAAAAGGGAAGGTCAATGCAGAAGCAAGGACACTCTTTTCTGCAGGTACATTTTAAAAATATTACAGGCCTTAACACTACAGAGTCCACTAGGGCTTACAATACGTACGGGTCAGTCACCTTCATTACTTACCCAGGTTTTCATGTGTGCACGTGCTGGAAATACAAATTAATTCCATCTTGAAATTGCTGTACAAGGTCATATCGGAAGTGAATCACCACAGAAGGGAAGGATGGTAAGAGAAAGAGAAGAGGCAGGAGGAAAACCAACTTCAAGTCATTTCTGGTTTGCTTTTCCCACAAATACCTTACCTTCAATAACCCCTTCTTCTCTGCTGTAGCTAAAAGCTTTCACAAAAGGGAAGTTTGCTTTGGACAACCGTGTACCTTATTAACTGTCATGTGGTTATCTTGATGCATCTCAGCCCACCGCTGGTAACAAACTCCATCATCACACACAACCCACTTTTCCTTACATTATTGTCACTGCTGGGATAAGATTTTGACAACTAGTCCAATCTGTGCACCTCAGGGGAGGAGAGGCCAGGCATTTGATCAACACCAGAAGTCTAATAAAACACCTAAGGATGCATGGAAACTTTTCAAAGGTTTCCACAAAATTTTCATTTCAAAACTTGCAAGTTCTGAAAACTGGATATTTCCTCTGCCTTAGCAATCACACTATGGGAAGGCTTAAAATAAGCTATACAAAGCAACACTTTGTACAGCAGAAATGTATTCCTTTCTTTTGAGTTTATATGGTTGCTTTATGTTTTTATTTAAAACCACAGAGAGCTTCTTCCCCTTCACCCTCCCACCACACCACACACCAGTACTGCCTGGTAAGCTCATTCAAGCACCCAGTATCAGTCTGCCCTGTTAGTATTCCTAGGACAAATTTCAAATGACAAAAACCCATTTCAAAATTGGAAGCATTTTGTTAGATATTAAGTCCCCCTTTATTTTGCTGCTGTTTAATTCCTCAGCTATATCCAGAATCCCGTTTGGTCCCAGTTGCATGTCTGGGATGGGATTTGAGAGGAGAGGTGCCTCTGCTTTGCTCCCAAACTGCTTCATACCCAGCACCCAGCTCTGGGGCCGCTTGGGGTGTTAACAGTGACAACCAGCTAACAAAGACTCTTGCATCTTGCACACAAGTGCACCCTCCTGCTGCTAAATGACATGAGAAATCGCATCCTGACAAGAAACAGCCATTTAGGAATCAAGCGGCTCAAACGCTCCATTAGGACGCACAAAAAGGATGTTTTGTGCATAACGAGGAAAGGAAAGTATCATATTTTGTATCATGCAAGGACTGAGCAGCCTAATTGGCGGAGGTACATGCTCGGAATAACAATTCCCCCTCCTGMCGGCACTGCGAAGCCCTGTCGTGCCAGCGCTCCGTGGCTCTTTCATGCAGGAACTGGTTAAAGCGCTCGCTGCTCCTGGAAACGCGCCAAAGCTTGGCAGCAGAGCCGCTCTCCATAATACAGAATTACTAGAGCACGTGATAATTCAACACAATTTTGCAGCAAGCTGTGCACTGCTTTATCTGAACCACACTGGAACTCATAGAGCAAGTTTTTAACTGTGCAGAAAGGGCTGCTTGACAGATACCATGAACCCAGACACATTTCAATAGGAACAAGGCTTAAAATTATTTTTTTTTTTTCCATTTACCTCCCCAAATTCTTCATAGATCTGTTCAATATAAGTCGTCCCTTTCCCTCCTGGGGAGACCTCTCCATGCATTTCTGACTGATCGCTCTCGCTTTCATTCGTCTTTCGGCTGTTCTCATGCGTTTCATTCTCTGATTCCTCTACATTGTCTCTCTCGGACTTGTCTGAAAAAGCATCATTCTCCAAATGGTGGTTGTTCTCCAAGGCTGAGTCATTCAAGCTGAAATACAGGGTTGATTATTTGTTAGAAGAGATTTTTGCCTTTCCAATAAATAAATAAATAAATAGATAAATAGATAAATAAATGAAATGTAGCATATGGTGGAAAAATGACACTGTGGAATATGTATTTTTTTCAGTATTGCTATTGCTTTATTACAACAGGACAGTCCTAAATCAGCCCTACATTTGGAAAGGTGAGTTTAAAAATCAATACAAGCAAGTATTTTGCCTGTCGCACATAAACTACCCTGGGTAACTTGTTGCCATTAGATAATGTTGCAAGCAAGAACTCTGTAGTTCAAAACACATAACAAGAGCAGTCAGATAATAATGGCATCCAAAGAAAAGTGTAGAAGCAGCAGCAACTTTCATGCTGTCTGATCCAAACTTTACAGAATGAAGAAAAAGCCAAAATTAGTTCTTCGGGTGGTCTATAGCACCTCCATTTGAAAAAGCAGATACAGCTCACATAACAGACAGCAAACGTCATGAAATGGACCTGACATGGTAATTACTAAACACTTTTTTTTTCCCCAAGAAATATTTAGCATAGGCTTCAATTTTCCTTATTCATACATGTTTTCACACAAATGCAACCTTTTTGCTAGGCTAGCCTAGCTCTCAGGTCCTGCTGACACCTTCCTCTGAACATTTCTTATCTCAGCCCTCACACTTCCTCACATTTCTGAAGCAAAGTTTTGGTGGAGCAAATGACTCTTTTCTTAGATCCTTCTGCTTTTCCCACCTACTCTCCCAGAAATCCTCCTTTTGTAAACAGATGTTTATAAGGATGTCAGATTTACTCCAAGGGGAAGTGAAAATCATATGAAATCCCTCATCATCCGAACATCTGGAGCCAAGGAGCTGCTCTGGGGAACCAAAGGGAAACCAGAAACTTCTCATTCTGGTTTCTGAGGAACAAACTCAACAATCTCAAGTGGAGCCAGGCACTTCTGTTCTTCCACACAGCATCAGCAGTAACTATACATAATATGCTAAAACAAAAAGCAAAGCTATGAGCTTGAACTAAAATCAATGTAAAGGCTTCCAAAGGGATTTGGATCAGACTTGGAAAGCCAAGAGGAAATGACTATGCTGAAGTCAACAGCAGGCTTCCATTTTACCCACAAATGACAGCATTTTTCAGGGCTAATTTACTGTTTCAGTGTAATGGAGCTGTCTGATATTCTGTAGGATTGTTCCTGGAACTTTTCACTAGTGACCAGGACTTCCGTAGGTTAGACGGTGCTTTTCTCCACAAAGGAAACACACTTTGGCTCTGCATCAAACAAGGAGACAAGCCAGATATCTGGGGCTGCTGAGATAAGAGACGGAAGCCATAAGAAATACGGTTTCACAGGAAGAGAGGACTGTCTATTTCTCTTACGGCCTCTTGTCTAAAATGTCAGCTTTGCACAGATCCTCAGCCCTTGATTTGGCAGCATGATTACATAGGTTTCCCCTTCCCATATTCATATGCTCCTGAAGACACTGATTTCAATGCCAGTGCATAATCCTGACTTCTCTCCCAGCAGGGGAGCAGAAAAGCAGCCAGCAGGCAAATATAGCTTTGGCTCAAGGGAAGATCCCCCCTTGCCAAGTCTCTTGGGGACTGCTTTCCCTGGAATACACACCATCTCCTTTTTCTTCTTGTTTTTCTTTTTCTGACAGAGTCGTTTGGCTAATTTGAAGATAGAGTTAAATGTAATTAACTGGCCCCCTAACAACAGCGTGCCAATTTAATTGGTATGATTCCCTGTAGGGAAGGCATTTAATTAGAATGATTTAATTCCTATGAGGAAGCTGCTGTCAGCGGCAAACCCAAAACTCTTTACTCAGCACTTGGGCAGTTTTGGTTTTGCTTCTTCCCTTACTGAATGTTCTTTATTCCTCCAGGGTAACTCATCCTTCTGACCTGTAATGACAAACTCTCCCGGGCTTTAAGCACTAGGGAAAATCTGGGTAGAAATTAAAACCAGCAGCAAAATTCAAGAGCGGAAACTGACTCGTCCTGACGGTCAGACACCAGGAAAAAGTTCATCTASCCCTGACTTGAACCACTCATCTAAAAACTGAGCTTGTCAGAAAAATCGGACTCCATTAGCACATCCGATGTCCTGCTGAAGACTCTCCCATGGGTGCTCCTGCTGAAGAGTTCAAGAGGCCTTTTAATATTGAACAGATAAGTGGTGAAGCAGAATCATTTGTGCATTATATGTCAGAGCAAAAATACTTTAATATACACCCTTTGCACTTGACATTTATAGCAGTCACGGGTCTACATGCATGTCCTCCATACCACAGGCCCCATTTAATCTAGGATTTATGCACACACCTCCACCAGCTGAAAAACAAATCCACTGCCTTCCAGGATTCACCATCAGCCAAAAAAATCATGGTGAGAAAGCTCCTAAGAGACTCTCTTAGGCAGAGGGAAACTAGAATAGTAAATTCTCAGAGAATTGGAAATACAGAGCATACTGCAAGAATTATTACCCTAAAAAATTACTGTCCAGCCTGTGCTGCCTTTCTGTAAGCCCTGAGTGTCAAACTGACATCAGCAGAAGTAGCAATAGACACCTCATGTCCCCTGACATGGGAACAATCTATTCCCCCTGACATGGGAACAATCTATTCCACAGGGATTTTTGAGATCACCTATTTAGCTATAAAAAACAGATAATCCCCTCCACCTTTTCCTATGTCACTTAAAGAGCACTGATGCGAGTTTTTCCAAAATGCTGCTGTAGTGCTGTGAACAGAAGGCGGCTGCAGGGACTTTTTCCCCGTATGTGAAAATTTATCTGAGGCATTGAGCAGGAAATTGGAAACCACTCAAAACCCCTGCAGAGAAAGAAAGTAATTATACGGCTCAGGATGCCATGCGCACAGCCTGCTGACTAGGACACTGTATTATTAGTAGCAAAAGTGCATTATTAAAAAACAGATCAGACTCCCAGCCATATGTGCTAACCCGTAGACAGACACTGGAAGTGTCTAGCTAACCCCAGATCCCCTGTAGTGGCTAGACTCTGCAGTCTCCACTCAGGCAGACCATTTTTCATGCCAGCCTCTCCAGACGGTGTTTTGGCCCAAGCAAGAGATGGAATAAATTTGCTTCTGATGCACAAGAATGCAGCTGAGGCTCCCTCCAGCCTGTGCTCAAGCACGAGGTGACATCAGGCCCCACGTTCGTCTGACCTGATGGACATGGCAGAGGAACCTGGAAACTTATTTGTAACTGTCTTTTTAAAGTGAACTCTGTCCAGATTATTATCGGGTTAAATGGATGTCCATGTATGAGCCACGCAAAGCTGCTCTGGGTATTAAGAARTGAAAGCTCAGGCTTACTGGAAGAGCTCCTGGTCCGAGATGGTGCTCGTGTGTAAGAGGTTGTTGAGCCCTGCGTGGGCTGCGTCGCTCGAGCAGTTCATTTCTCCATCCTTGCCCTGCTTGGAGGCACTGAGCCGAAAGAGGCTGGAGCAGCGCAGGGCAAGCTCCAGAGCATCCAGCCAGCACCGGCCTGCAAAAACAAGGGGAATTATTTAAGCACAGAAGAGCAAGTAAGATGATTTGTACATTGCATCTAAAATGCTTCTTACCTCAGTGCAAAGCTCCTTTTAAGGCAAGAAGGCACTCTGTACAATAATCTACTTTTCACATAAATAATCCCTAGGTTATCTGTCTGGAAATGGTAAACACGTCGGCAGCTGCACAAGTGATACTTGTGCATAGGTAACAATGACAGAAAACTCACTGCAGCTTTGCCCTAACAGCACCTCTTCCTCTCCACCTACTCATTTTAACTTTTCTTATCCTGTTGCAAAAATGCTTCACTTAAAAGTAATTTGCCAACATGAGAAACCTCAGGTGTGGTACAAAGACACGGGAACCCAAACCGCATATTGGCTCCTCAGGCAATGCCCCCTCCAAGTCCGCAAAGTGGTGTGTTAGTGTTAAAGCACAACCAACATTGAGTGGTGTCTTAGTGTTAAAGCACAACCAACCATTGCAGTGCTGGAGCCTCTATGTTCTTGGAAACAATCTGCTGCAGTAGTTCAGAGTCACTAATGAGGCCAGGACACCTGCAAATTGGCTGAGCATTCAAGGATGGAGGTATCAAGGGAGAAACCCTCTAATTTCTAGCCTGCAAAACAAAGCTTTTCATTATGGTCCTCTGAATACATTTTGCAATAATTAGAAGTGCACTTGAGAGGCAGTGAAGAAAACAACGAGGATTTTGCTCTGGCAATGGCAATTTGCTACAGACAGCTTTCCTCTGGACCACATCTACACCGATGTCCCACTTGGGAAATGGTGCTGTTACGTCCTACTCTTATCACACGCTGAGCATCAGGCATATGCTTAAATCACACRGGGATCCAGCCACTACTGGGCAGAATTCCCATTGATTCTGCCATGACTAAAATCTAACTCTGTAAGAAGATCAGTGAGATTTTAAAAAATCCACATCACAAGGATATAAAGAAAGATTTATAAATTTGAGCAGCTCTTAGTGCTTGCTTTGATACAAAGCTATAACCAGTGAAAGCGAGGGAACCACCSCCAAGCTCAGAGGAATTCCACTTGAACACAGAATCACAGACACCACAGAGCCCAGCCATTTCCTCCAATTTCCTCCTATAAATTCCATCAGCACCAGCTTATGATTTAATAATAAAACCATTCATAATGGTTAATAAAAGATTAGGAGGGCTAAAGGATATTGGAATTGATTTCACACTATTTTGTATTTAACAAACTTCTTTTACATTAAGGCTCTACACACAGGAATTTATTCCCTCCTCACCATGGGGAGGATTTGCATGGATAAGCTGTAAGAGTAGATGGCAGAACTGAGACAACTACATATCCCCTCTCGCCTGACCCATTAAGTTGAAAGCCCATTTTTGGCTATTATTTGCAGCCTTATGCTCAGGCAGCAGCAATGAGATAGCTCCCGTGCCTGGCAACACTTTGGAAACCTTAATCAAAGGGCCTCCTTAAAAAAAACATTTGCTAAAAATCTTCATTTTAATACTGCAGTGCAGAAGCACAGAACTTTCGAGGAATATTCCTTAGAGAACAGCCCTGTGCATTAGCAATCAGCATTACTTCTGTCCCACCGAGCACAGGAATGGCACCAGGGTATTGCCCTACTTTCAGTTCTAGCAGAAAGTAAATTCAAGGGACGCAGAGCAGCATAAAAGACACAGGTCTTTGGCCATCGGGTGGTGCTGTGAATCCAAATAAATGCGTAACACAGAAAAAGACACAAAATATGGCATTTCCTCTCCAAATGAAAAGGTTACATTCTCTGCAAGTCAACAGTGTGGTAATCGCACCATAACACAAAAAATTATGCCCTCCGAGTTTCAAGGCTTGCACACAAGATAAACCTGTTTCCTCACTACAGGCCTACATGAAACGTTTTTACGTTTGAGTGATCTTGCTGTTGAGCAATATTCATCCTTTTTGTGAAAAGGAAAGGAGAATTCTGGCATTTGGATTACTTAATTGCTTATACAGTGAATCTACTCACTCCCTCATGAATTGCAGAAGGGGAAAAAAAGTATGTGGTCCCGTAATTAAAGGCTATCAAATATAGTTATTGTCGCCTGCACAAAGGCTTCATTGGCTACATTTATTCTCACATTTCCACATTTTGAATGGTTGACTCCAGTCATTTCTGTATKCAGGATAATTAGATGAGAGAAGTAGAATGGGTGGAATTGTTTCTTAAGAGGCAAAGAGCAGCACAATATGATTCAGAGAAAGGAAACAAAAATAAAAAGAGCTGGGAAATAATTACAATTGCATTTGTGCAGCAGGTCTGAGGCTTTTAAAACTGTARTGGAAAAACACTACAATCAATTATCAGATTTTTATTACAGTCTGTGACAGACTGTGCCCTAAACAAGCTTATGTTTAAATCCTGGAGGAAAACCCAAGAACTATCAGCCTATGGCAAAATCCCCCACAGGGTTTTAAGAATTTATCATACCAAATGGTATGCTACTCTATCCGCCTCAGTGACTATTTTGAGAGAATTCTGCATAAATTCTCTTGCTTCAAGAAGATCTGTATTACCGAGGAGCAAGGCACACTGTTCCTTTAGCCAGGCAGTCTCGGAGCAGGATGCCTTCCCTTTTGCATGCGGCATTTTGCGTTGACCTCACGGGAAGGACCTCTGGAGGGAGCTGTGACTCTTGCATTGAGTTGGGATGTAAATAGTCTGCTTGCACAGACCCTTCCCATCTGGATCAGAGACCACATTCACAGCCATCACAGGGAGAGACAAGTTTATAAAAAGCAGCAAACAAGACTGAACACTCATCCCATGGATGTTCCACACCTTCTCTAGACTGCCTGGCCCAACGGGCTGGTCCGGGTCTTGACAGCCCTTTGAGAGGAACTTCAGCACCCTTGGCTGGTGGGAATCACACAGGATCCTCCCACTCTGCAGGGATGCCCCTGTCCACCTCCACAGGGCACTGYTGGTACCTGCTGCCCAGTGGAAACCTGGAGCCTACAGCTGAAACACCTTTTTTTTCCCCACAGACAAAAGGGAACCACTAAAAAGGAATAAACAGCACAAAACGTTTCTACTGCTCCCCCTTGGAAAAAGGCAACCAAAAGGTTGCTTACGCTGCTGAACCAAGGTTAGTTCAAGGAACTCCTTCTAGAAGTACTTGGAGAATGGCTTAGTCCTCAAGCAACTCTCCAATTACAACAATAGCCTACAGAAAAATCAGCTAGTGCTGAAAGCTCTTCACTTTTGAAATTCTTTATAGTCATCATCATCACACCTAAAAATACTCATGATTGGATATGCCAACTCTATCTGCCACATTTTGCAATGAACAATCACTGAGACAACCTTCCCTCAGCACTCACCAAGAAAGTAAAAATCTGCTCGAGGTGCAACGGCGATGCTGTACACCGAAATCACATCCAGGGACTACAYGTTTGCCATTGAATACTTGTAGCTACAGAACAGCTGGGATGCATCTTGCCAATTAAGACTTCAAAAGCTTCACACCTAGTAGCTATACATTCCTCTAGACAGGCATCACTAAGGGAGCATTATTCTTCTTGAATTATTAAAGTCATCCAGCTTTCGGCTTCCTGCTTTACACCTACAAGACAGATGCTTTTAAGAATCAGCCTGAGGTAGCCTGCCACCTGGAAACGATGAATTCTTGCTCAAGTGCACACAAATCACAAATGATGAGGAAGACACTGATTTGCTTCAGTCACTGAACATTGAGGTCACCGTATTCAGCTGACTGCTTCTCATTTTGCTGCACCACTTGGGTGTCTACGTGCATGATTCGTTACACTTTGGCTGTCAAGCTGCAAGGATGTAATCCTTCAATTAGCTGCCAGTGCAATTTATGCACCAGGCTACGTAAAGTCTAGTTGCAAATGTATAGATTTTAAATTGCTGCAAAAGAATTAAGGKGGCAGAYATAGGTCTAAGAAGATWACTTTATTTTTTTTTTCCAGCATCYCTGGGATTTCATGATATACTTCAACGTGAACTTGGTTTTGAACTGCAGTCTTCCTCYTGGTTTGCTGCTCCTGTGTGTGACTCTCATTGCAATAATGCAATTTTTCTCTCCAGATCACGGTATCCATTTTGTGAGAAGAGTCTGGTGACTACCAATGACTAAAGAAACAATAACACAGCAAGATAGACCATCCGTTTTTCCACACAACTCCATCTACATCAGGCAGTGGAGCCTATCTAAAGCATGCCTGGAGGAGCGGGTGCACATAAGGAACAAAATGCAAGTGTGGTTTATATTTCCTCTGTCGAGTCTTTAACCCTTGCTTATCTGCCACACTGAGTTCCTTCCAATAACCCCCTGGGTGGCACTACCCACGGGACATGTTTCAGCAACTAATTCTAACACTCCTATCAGCACAAATGTCATTTGCAAACACAGTCACTGCTTTGGAAAAAYAATTTTCCTTACTGAAGGTAGTTTGAGAGAAAGACCCTGTTTTTGTACAGGTTGAGCCTTGTAGGCTGATTCGACCTTCCAGATGTCGTTAAAACACATCACACTGCAGACTGCTGCAGGGGGCTGTGAATGTGAAATTTACTGTAGCTTGACGGTGGTTCGGCAGGCTGTCCAGAAGTCAGGACCTTAAATCCTGCCAACAGGCTGTCACAGATGGCACAGCACAGGGGAAAAGGGGGATTCTGAAATGCAGAAAGAAAAAAAAAGTAGGCCAAGTAGCTGCTGATCATGATAGAGCTGCCTGGATAGCAGAACTGTACATCTGACATATGTTTTAACTCAATATTTCCCAGATAGTCAAAGGCCTCCATGAATTACTGTTAAATTTGCTTGATATTCGGCAGTTCATTTTTCACTATGAACACGGGAGGCTGCGTTAAGCAGAATGTGGTCAGGACACCTCCTCAGAGGTGCTGCAGATTCACACAATATCGCACCTCCGCGGGAGACGTGAGCATACTGCAAACACACGCTAACATTATGCAAGGGAACACATCCCACCTGGCCCATTTCTGTCAACCAGCTTAGCTCTTTACAGCTAAAATCCCCCTCTCTCTTGACCATAAGTACACTCTGTATCCAGTGCATTAAAGAAATGAAACAAACTGAAATATACTCTCCGGGAGATGCCTGTGCACCACAGATAAATCTCTACAACTGCCTACAACCATCTGAGTAGCTGGGCTGCCTGTAGAGTAGTTTGTTCAAGATTTCTTTAAATGTAGCAGTTTCCATTCTTGGTGTCCTGCGTTCCTAAGCTTTACGCCACTTCATGATATGAAGACCATTTGCAAGTCACAGATCCTTGAGTGGGATATCCAGGCACTTGGCTGTTTCTCATCATGTCTACACTGCTCCATGGAGCAAAGATGCCCAAACTTCCTCCTCTTCCTACTCAAGGTTCATTTGCTGCTCACAGCTCATTGACCTTAGCTGTGAAGTCAGATTGTTTTTATTGCACCATTTTTCATGCTAGCACTTCTGGTGAGATACGGTACCAAAAGCTTTTGCAAAATACAGAACCAAAGAGACAATTCTCAAAGCTTCATTTCTGTCAGCTGTCACTGTCACCTCTTGGGACTAACTGATAGAAGCTATTTAGGCATAATTTACTCACTCCAAATCTGTGCAGGTGAATCTTGAGCATTGCTAGTGCCATTCAAATGCTATTTCATCCTAAGCCAAAGGTTCTAGCTGCATTCTAGATATACATTTACGATATTTGATTTAGGGGTTTCTCGGTGCCTGCTTCTTCCCTTGATCACATTAGATTTCCATCTAATCATAAGAGTCCACTGCAGGGAAGAGACAAAATACATAAAAATTATGCTAAGTTCTCAAGTGATTCTACTCGCAGCTATCTGGCCTTGGCATTCTTCCCAAAATTCTTAGTAAACATCTTGGCCACAGTAATACATCTAAATAACTCACTATTTGAAGCTCTTATGATCTACCCAGGAATAACAATTCCTGGGTAGAAAGCTTCCGACMGGCCTTTAAATATTGAAAGTTCTCAATTTGGTCCATTTTGTGTTTTTTTCCAGCACTATGGTGCATTACCCAGACAAAGAGATCATAGCTGGAGACATCTTACCTTCGATAATCTCCTGGGGCTACTTGTAGCTTTGAAGCTTTTATGGGAAAGACTAATTTAAACAAAACTAGAGCTTTCTACTCCACATAACTGGCCCGTAACAGTCTGCCAAAAAGAGGGAGCACAAGCTCAGGCACAGGCCTCTTTGCTAGGTTGGCTTTAAGGTTTCATCATTAGGCAGCTACCAGAATGAAGATTTTCATTTAGAAGACAATTGAAACACCAAGAAAAAAAAAATCTTTATCATAGAGAAGTTTGTCAGAGAAAAGTTTGTCTGACTGCTTGTCACTGCATGCAGTGACTACACTGCTCCTTTTGCACACTTTCTAACTAAGTTAACAGAAAGGCAAGTTGAATGGATCTCTAAGGAAATAATTTAGACCTGGATTGATAGACATTTATTGAAGTTATTCGCTTGCCTAGGAACTCTGTGGCATTGTTCTATCTACCTATTCTGTGGGCTGTCTAACCGGGGTTTGAAATGCCTGTAATTTAGCAGGTCTAGCTCAAAGGTACTTTATTCCTGAGAGACTATTATATCAATCTGCATCTTTCTACACAAATGACATTTGGGTGGAATTCTGTATTCCTTTGCACAAATATGCTGTGGAAGTCGTATTGTACCAGGAGGTACAAAAGCATCAGGTCCAAAGTAACAAATTTGCTTCTTTGCCTCTATACAAGTTCCACTTAATTTTGTACGACCTCACTGCACTGGCAAACAGCTTCCCCTGCCTAGATGGTACAGATCACCACGAACAGCCTGCTTTGCACAGGGGCAAGACGAATAGTGTGCCAAGCCTCTAATAAAGAAAATCTCCTCTTATTCTAAATGCCATGTCAAAGATGTGTTGACCATCTTTGGTGTCCCATTTCCAGCTGTTAGAAGTAAGTGAAATTTAATCCTTGGGTCAGAAGGACTCTGATTCTAAAGCTCCCTGTGCTTCATAAAATGTTGTGCATTCTTGAAGGTATCTAGAATAAGACAAAGCAAGCTACCTTGGTATGCTTTGTGGGACAGATGAAAAATGCCCCTAAAATGCTTTCATTTGCTGCAGGAAAAAAAAAAGGGGGGAAAAAAAAGAAAAAGAAAATAGAGAAAAAAAATATGTAGTCTCAAGGTCAGCTGGAATGAAGACATGATTTTAATCTTATCTACTTATAAATCACTGATATTTTAGGCCTTCTAAAGCCATTTAGAGAGATTTTCACATAGCAAGCTGGCATGTTTGTTAAATACTGACCTAAATTTACCTTCCATAATTTTGCGAATTCCCAAAGCAGTATTTTACAGAGCCATCTGTGCCTGCTGTAGTGCAACCACAGTACAGTAAGCTCACAAGAGATTTCTGGTGGCAGAGAGACATCTATCAACAGCCTTCATTATTACTATATCATTTTTCTCCAGCAGATCCCTTCCTAGTGAAAGACATTGGCAGATAAACTATAAAATCTCTCTCCAGCTGAGGGTATAAATAAAAACCTTCTTATCCCAGTTTTGGAAGCAGCTCCTTTCATCTTCCAGTATTTATTTATTTAGTGTTTTTTTCTCCAGCTATAATCCTCAGTCCTTCACCTATGCACACGGCCAACATGAACGGTGCCTAGTCAGTGAGGAATATGAAACGTGCCTGTGGTCTGCTCAGACTGTTCAGGCACTTGCTAATGAAATACATTTCGAATTTACATGCCATTTTTTTTCTTTAATGCATCAATTTACTGCATCAACCTGCTTTCTTAACTTGCAAGGAGTGTACAGCACCACATTGTCCAACCTTGACCACCAAAGCAAATAAAGACCAGAACTCACCATCTGATTCGGAGGCTGCTCTGAAGATCAAGTAACTGCTGGGAAGAGGCTGAGTGATCGAACCAACATTTTCTCCTTTTGGGCCCTAGAAATGTCAGAGACAAAAAACAAGTGATGCAGAGAAAAAAAACGAACAAGTGCAGAGAAGTCCACTGCACTGGCAGCTCTTCTGGAAGAGGGCAAGGGGAAGGAAGCTCCATCCTCTAAATGCATCTGCAGAGAAGGGGCGCAGCATTGGAGAAGGAGGATGCTCCAAGTTCAAGGTTTTCCCACACRGACACATGTTGCTGGGCTGCAGCCTGTCACCGCAGCATGTGGGCCCACTGGGAACCTGTGTGATTGTCACCTGGCCCAGAGGACAGGGAGCCTTTCCTTTAGGTTCTAGAGAACAACATACACAGTGCTTAAAATCTGCCAGGAAATTTCTGTACTTTATAGTCTCATTTCTAGCATGAGCTGCTACAACATCCTATCTTGTCCTCAAAGGAAGGACTAATTTCTAAAAAGGAAATCTCCAAAATATTTTTCAGTAACAGGGCAGAGCCTATAAACCTTTCACATAAGAATTCACTCCCTGACTGCCACCGAAAACAGCTCCCATATGCACGTGTCTGATAGTTAAATTGTGGTTTTGTTTTGGAGGTCCACCCAGGAAGCCAAAATTTGTAAGGAATGAAGAGTGCAAGTACAGGACAAGCACTGAATTGCATCTGTGCCTGCAGCACGAGGATGTACTGCTGAGAATACAGCAGTCTCGAGTCCAGCTTCTTGTCTCTACAATCTTCCACTGCCAGGAGAAACAGGGACCCTTGTTACTCATTTTTCTCTTCCCCTCTCTCACAAGAGGCTCAAGATTCCCAAAATTATGACTGTTTAACAGGCTTAATAGTCAGGAGTAGCCAAGTTGGGATTTGATTAGTGATCCAGAGCTGAATACAAGAGGTATTAATGCAATCAGGCAGCATTCCGCTGGCATCCTTCCATGCCCAAGCTTGCAGCTGAGCAGGTGCCCAAGAATAGCTGGTAACATCATTATGTGATGGAGTTTTCGGCGCACAGACCTCCAGACAGTGCAGCTAATAAAGAAGCATCTTCAGATCATTCCTGCCTTTAAATTTGATTTCAGACTTAGAAGCTTTATTAAAAAGGGGGTGTTTATGCTTTGAGAAATGGAGCTGACTACCTTGGCGACTCCTGGAGACTCATAAAACAAAGCTTACAAAAGGAAAAAAATCCCTTTCATTAGCGGTTCTGTGTATAACGGTGAACATGAAGAAGAAACTAACTAGGTTATATCACAGACTAGAACAAACATCCCTAAAAGAAGTGGCACAAGTCCCATAGCGAGAACTTCTTCTCTTTGATTTCTTTAAAGGTATGACTCAAAACACTGAAATCTTTAAAATTAAAATCGTAAAATTCCAGACTCGGCAGGCCTGACCCTGACTCATTTACTGTTGTATATCTGCGACAAGAGAAACTGCAATCAGTATCGCTCATCCCACACCAAAACGTTCAGCTCCAGCAGAGCTATGCTCCAACAGAAATATCACCTATTCCAAGATGATATTTGGGACAGCTTCACAAGCAAAGCCAGCCAMCAACTGTACACCCCCTCCGCAGAGCCAAAGGGTGGATGTCCCCACCCTCACATCAGCTCTCGGCCAGACAATCCTTGGAAATCCCAGAAGCCACTTTAGCCAGACACAAAAATTATTTAGCCAAATCTTACTTCCATCATGACGGACAGAAACTTGGGCTGATTGTTTGAGTTCAAGCTAATTTATATTCATGAGAAACTGGCCTTCTTCTTTGCAGAATAATACAAAACAAGTTTAGACAAGTCAGTCAATTCTGCTTCAGTTGCTTTAAAGGAAGGCCACGAAATGACATAAAATGAATCTGTACTTTTAGCAGCTTCAGCCTTAAATTGTTGTCAGAGTGCTGACAGCTTCTTGGACATCTAGCCATTCGCCAGTGCATTTCTTGATGTGTATTTTGGTGTTCACCTTGGGGCTGAAAGCATCTATCATACACAATAACCTGACCTGAACTCAAGCTTCAGGAAACATCCTGAAACTCAGKCTGCTCAAACACTGCTTTCCAAGCATCTGTCTCAAAAGACTCAGAATATTATTTTGACTTTAAAACTCTCATCTCTTGGGACCTTCTCTAGTACACAAACACTTTCAGAGATATATTCCCTTCATATTTAATTCCTGTTTCTGTCATATATTTTCCCAAGAGACAGAGGAATTAGATACAAACACATGTAATGCATACTGATAAAACCTCTTTCTTTTGGATGACTCATAGCAAGTTCTGGCATCTTGCAACACTTTAGATCTCTAAATGATACTAGTTTTTCACTATCTTTCCTACTGTGCTTTCAGGAAGAATTCAGTTGACCTGTCATTTCAGAACAAATTTTTGGCTGATGGATAGCAAAAAATTGACAACTTTCTTGGGCGTAGGCTCTGAGTAAGACAAGCATCACGACTCCTAAAATTGAGTAAGAAACAAASTGGCAGTCAAACCTATATATATAGCAAAAACGATGCACCTAGGCACAGACTAGAGCTAAGCAACTGTCAGAAAACAGCAGCTCTTACCCTAGATTGCTGAGCTGTGTTTTCTTTTTTTAATTATCTCCTTCTACCATACTCAAAATCAASACTTTCTATACCCTTTCATCTGGTTGAGCAGAAATAAGGCTGCTTTATCTGCTCCCATCAGGCTTCTCCTCCACTTCACCTGACTTTTTGGTAACAAATGTCATCATCCCTCYCACATGAATCTTTCTAGGCACACTTATTCCACTGACCACCTTGCAGCAAGGCAATAACCTGCAATGCCTTGTATACTCCGGTGATATTTCCTAGAGAATTTATATCTGCAATAACTCAGCAGAGTTGCTGTTTTTAATAGGGAAACGAACTTCAAGAGCAGTTAAGTGCTGTCTCTTCAGGGCATCCAACAGAAGTTGCACTCAGTGCTTCTCAAGAGGCACTGGGGTCTTTCTCTTTGCTCACAGACATTAGGTAACTCTTCCTAGTTTTGCCTATTCTTTAGGAAAAAAAAGAAACACAGCTCTTCAAAATTTGGAGGGAGTTATTTAAGAGATGTGAGAAACTACTGATAATTTGTTCTGCAGGGAGATTCAGAGGCCACCGTTAAAGCTACTGTGCATTAAGCAAGAGATGGACTCAGCCTCTGAGCCACAAGAGTCAGAACAAGAATTCTTGATTGAAAAGCCTTGCTATTTCAATTTCAAAACAGCTATAATTAAGGCAAGATAGATTGGACAATCTATCCAAAATCACACCATTGTGGCAGAGCCGAGGCTTGGGCAGACCAGTGAATTCCAGTCCATCACCAGCAACCCCAAATCTCAGAGACAAAAACAAAAMCAAGCCTTGGTTAGATCATTCATCTGATTTTTGTCACTCTGTCAACCTTCTTCTAGTGCCTTGTACGTRTTTTTTTCTGGGAAGTCAGTTAATTGCATCAACTCCTCATCTCCTGGCAGATTTAGGCCAGGGCTTGATATAACTCCTAGATGTGGATCATTTTTTTTTCTGCAAAAACGTGTCTTTCATTTCTTCAATTTATGCATGAATTTATACACCAAGAATGATACACTGGTCTAACTAATCTCAATGCACCATGTTCCTTTGATGTCACACCATGACCAAACTTCAGTGTCCCCAATCTTTTCATGCAGTCAATTTACCATCGCTAAGAACATCTGAATAACTAAAAACCTAGATAGTACAAACACCCTCAAAAACTCTGCACCACTTTCCCAACCTTTTAGTTTGACAAGAACCCACTGTTTTAGGATCACTGCTGAGTCAAGGGATGACGCCAGTTCACTGCAGAGTAGCAAAGCAGAACAGCAGTGYTTGAGTGGTGCTGCACTGGAGTTAATAAGTTCTACCAGACAAAACCCAGCTCACAGAGAGTCACACAAGGCAAATCACCCTCTGCAGCCTGTTTGGAAAGCAGCTTCTTCCTACCCGCATTTCTCACTGCTCGGAGGTTCTAGTGCCCAAGAAGAAGTCGTTCAGCTCATCGGAGTTGTTACCTTTACAGCCCAGATGGATTGATCCAAAGGATGAAACAGCTTAAAACAGAAGCCGTCCTTTTTGGAGGGTCTCTCGATCAGCTCACAAGAATGGAGCAAGATTGTCCCAACCCACTGTCCGATCTTTGGTGTTTTATAAATCAGCAGCACTCCTGGTTTCAGAACACACCACAGCTTGGTCCAGCTCTTCAGAGTCCCACGGATCTGGAACACGGACAAGAAGAGAAAATTGCTTTTAGATTACTTCCTAGAAGAAAAAAGCAGCATTTATCCTGTATTTATTCAGTATTCCTACTTCCAGTATGCACTGCACCCAGGGCCAGACCAAGGTAAACTTTTTGCCATGATTATACTGCATTGTCCAGCCAGTCTCAGGGATCTCATAGCAAAATCCCAGACCACACAAACACAGCTATCAGAATCTGCTCTTTATATTTCTATTACTGACTTCATGCTTCCAGCTTTCTTAATATTTTAGGCAAGCAGCACCACTGGCCACGTGAGCCAGTGATTTGTTAATATTTGGAGGGCAGGCCAATTAGGCCATCACAGAGAGAACTGTTCTAGCGAGTCTAACTGACCTCAGCAGACACTTTAATAGTGCTCTGCCAAACAGAGCTATTAATGGTTCTGTCAAACACCACTATTTCAAAGTGCCTTCTAGCTGGTTTATTTCTCTGTCAAGCTCAATGCACTCTCTCTCTTACAGAGAAGACATTAAAACTGATAGCATATATTACAGTTAATAGCTTTGAGAACGGGGACATTGCTCTGTAAGGTTAGATTCTGCCTAAGGTGTTCTTGTCTTCAGTGTGCGTGGGGTGACTCTCAACTCTTGTGTTGGTGTGTTCTGCTTTGACAGCCCTGGCCATTTGCTGTGGGGCTAGAAATTTCCAGCTGCAGCAAACGCCACATAGGGGCTTTGTATAAAAATCTCAATATTTCAATTTAACTTCGTATTATCATCAGCACTAYACACTGTGGCACAATTTCATTGCCTATCTTATTTCTCAAGTAAGCAACACACTTCTCACTTGCCTAGATTCCAACACTGACCCCAAAACACTGTAAGCATTTTTTCAAAATGCTCATAAACACAATTGCAAATGAAATCCCTAATTTATCTTTTTTAAAAAAGCCAAAAAACACTATTTGTTTAGAGGTGTTCAAAAAAGTAAGTTTTATTACTATAAAAGGGACAAGCAATTCATGATTAATCAACAAGACCAAATGCTCTAATGAATTAAAATACAAGTCGTCAGAGACGACATCTCTCAATGACAGTCCCAGTTTGATTTGTCTTGTACAAACTTTCAGGGCTTCAGTGAGAAGCTGTCACCCTTTGAGTCCTTGCACAAGGAGAAACTTCAGTTGTCATTAGGTCCACTATGTTTCATTCTGGGCTGCAACAACATAAAATCCAACTGTCAATAGAACAAGCTGCACCTGCCCATTTCTGACCTATAACTCTGTCTGTTCCTTCTTTAGTCACAAAGCACATCTATGGTGAGACTCCTTTAAAGAAGAAGAAAGAACAGTGAAACATCATCAGTTCCTTTGTACTCTGCCCTTTTCGAGAACTTGCTCCTATTACGGACAAGGAACAGATGGACTGAATTAGGTTAGGATGGAACAGAAACATTCCCCGTAGCTTTTACAGCAGTTTTTTAAGCAGGAACTTCACAGCAACACCAGCTGAAAATTACTCCATCTTTCCTCATGCAGGAAAGTGCTAGTGCACACATCTCAGACGCAGCGAGCATTTCTCACTTGTTTATTTTCTGACAGCCTCAGAAGCAACGGTCTGTACCAAATACCTTCAGCCAGTCTGCTGTGATCACCACACTGGGGTCCTTGAGAGCGCTGAAGAGCTGCTTGGTAGCTCGTTTCTTCTCCTGCCTGTAATTTTTTTTTTGTACCTGGCTCAGAACAGAGAAACAGCAGCTGTAATCACCTCCGCCTTGGAGGAGAAAGGAACATAATGCATTAAAGAAGTCTATGTATAGCACAGCTAGAGCCTGACCCAGCACAGGTTCCTCAGAAAGCAGCACAAGGGGGAACAGTATTCTGAAGCTCCAATAAGCACCATCAAGTTCTGCAGTTTACGTGTTTTTATTTGGGAAAAATGAGGTGAGATTGAATATGTCATCATCCCCACTCCTCAAATCGAAGATATGAAAACTAAGTTCATCCAAAAGTAAATTAATTGTTTCAGTAGGCAATTATCTGTCCAGACTGCCAAGAAACAGCCCTTCTAGCCACAGCAATGAAGGGTTATGATCTTCAGGTGCTTTGTAACACATGAACAGAATACAACCATTACTCTTTTTTTTTTTTTTTTTCCTGTTTGCAATATATAATCTAATCACTTTACAAAGCCTGATAATACTCTTAGCCCACAACTACTCACAGAAGATTGAAAGTCTTTTCTGGGTCTKGGGAAATAACTCCCAGTAGTTGCTATTAGTTTGGAAGGTACTTCTTGTTTTGTTAAAAGGAGTCAGCTGATGCCGATTTGGCTGCTGTACACATACCTTCAGAGTTTCCTTCTTCATGAATTTGGCTGTAGGAGACACACACTCTTTGTCAGAGCCATTGCAAAGCTTATATTCATTCTAAAAAAAGATTGGAAGTAGAAACGTATTAACATGAAGAAGTTTGAGCTGTGCTTTAATGAAAAGTTGTTTATAATTTCCAGGAATCCATGGAAGAGCTGATCGCAGGCTTTGTCAGCAGACACAAGGCACCCTCGAGAAAGGTATCTTTGAAAATCCTTTTTTACACACAGGGTTACTTGGAAAACTCCCTACCACGTTTTCTTCATGTTTCTCCGCCTCAGACATTAATCTTGTTAGAAACAACAAAAAAACTGCTCTTATTCCTAACTCTGAAAATTACCCATTTCTTTACAGATCCTAAAGTATTTCAATTACTTAAATAAAAACTATGGGGAAGTTGGTAGAGGTCTTTCAAAACTACATTCAGTATTGGCAATGACTGTTTCCCTAGCTGAAATATCCAGAAACATGAGTAGACAATAAATGATCTAATCATGTTACAGATAATGTAGAAAATTATCATCATCTTGGCCTTGGGAAGCCAGGCACAAAATAYATAGTCACTTTAAATCATGTTTAACAGCATCAGTGATGTTTAAATTCATTTTCAGAGACTGCAGACTGATCTCATGCTTGTGCTGATGGTCTAAAAAAATGATTTACTTGCATTAGACATGGAAACAACACTACCGTTCCCCAAAACATGGTGCACTTGGAGAGCACATCGCTCTGCAGCAGCCCCCAAGCAGGACCCTTCTCAGACAGGTATCACCAGCAAGGTGTCCGAGCCTCAGGAAGAGCACATGGGGTAGTCCGGGGTCTGCTGCCCTCTACGTGGCCCTAGGGAAGTTACTTCTTCTCTCTGAGCCTGTTTTCTTTCCAACCTTTCATCTCTTGTGCATTTAGACTGTGATCTTTTGGGGTAAGGCACTATTTCTCCTTCTTAGGATGACAGTTTGGTAAAACATTCAGCCCTGGGCCATGTTGATTTAGTGGTTATGACGCAAAAATGAGCTGCGTTAAGGAGACCATACATCAGATGTGGTTCCCATTTATCAGGTTGCTGCCATAACGTAAAACATACCCAATGGGCTCTCAAACTATCCCGTGTGCTTCATGAGTCAGTGTAATCATTTCACAGTGCCTTCAGTTTTGACAGACCTACTTTTTTTTCCTCCCTTCCAGTGACAAARAAATCTCTCCGGCTGCTATAGCCATGAGCCACACTGAACATTAATAGAGCAGGATTTAACGACAGCTGGATCAGTCCTTTCCACGTGACTGACAGGGAGAGAAATATGCAGTGACATGGCCAGATCACAGCAAAGAGGCATTGGCCAGGCTTTGGGGACTGCAGCAAAGCAAAAGCCTGAGGATGCACCCTCTAAATGCAGCATCTCSAAGGCAAAACTTTTTGGATGATGCAGGATTAGAAAGTAGGGACAAGAAGGGCAATTTATAGCAGGGATAGGATCGCTGAAGAATCTAGTGCTTGCTCTTACATACCATGAGTCTACTAAAAACAGAGATATGTTGGAAACTAGAGAATAAATAGAGAAATAAAAATTTCATTCTGCAAAGGCACATAGAGACTCATGAAGTCCCTGATGTGACCATGCAGATTACAAGTGGATTCGGCTTTAGCAGTGCCCAAAGAAAATGCCAGCTCTGGACTCCTGCAATGTATATAACATTTGCCATCTTTGTTTTAGCAGAAAAAAGCCTTCCTCCTCTGCCTGCAATGCAGTCTCTGATGCATATTWTACATCTCTTCTGCATGTGGGACTTGACTGTATAAACACAGGATGTACAGCAGGAACCACGGCAGCCACACGAGATCTGAGCAGCAAACCTGCCTGCACGCTCTGTGCCACGCTTCCAAGGACAGGGCTGCACGTTTGAGGAGGCTTTCAGCTCCTCTTTACAATAAAACACTTCCAGGTGCTTAACTGACTCGGAGAAAGAATCCCCCAGAACTATAAAGARCTTATGCTTTCATAACTGGAGACATGTGGCCTTGGGAATTGGTCAGATTTCTCCCCGCTTCTCCCCATTAGCAGGAGGAGTGTCCTATCCTTGAGACATCATTAGGAGCAGACTCTTTGCAGGCAGTTTCACCTGCTCCAGCACAGGCAAGCACAGGCATCTGTGAGGCAGATCTGTGAGGCATCGGTGTGCGCAGGTATCAGCAAAGCATCAGAATACAAAGGTGCTTTTTACTTAATTAAGCAAAAAACACTGAASTCACTTGTTGCCTGGAGAATTACATCTTACATGAAGGATAAAAATTCTGTATTAATACAGGGGACACGCAGGGCCRCTGCTCTAGGTATTAACCAGGGACGCTGTTCTGCCAGCTTTCTTGGGGCTCCTCAGCTCATACTAAAAATGAGAAAGCATGAAGCTTCAAATGAGGACGGAGGAGGAAAAGATGAGCTCTCCTTATAGCCACTGCATTCTTTAGCAATTCACTGAATACAGTGAAATTTATCTGAAATCAAATTCGTCTGAAACCACTAGGTCAAAGCAGCTGCATGAACAGCGTCAGTGGTTGCTGCCATGGGCACATGAAACAGCGTGTGGCTATTGGAAAATATCTGTGCTGCAACATAATGACTACTGCAGCTCCCCCAGGTGATTATAAAAGGGCCAAGGTTTTATAAAAAGAGAATTTCATTAAAACCARGCAAAAATACTTGGAGAAATGAAGATTTCAGATGTTTCTAACCTGGAACTTCTGTTTCCAGAAGCTTGACCCCTTTCCCCAGGTACTTTTTTAATTAGGCAGATTAAGGGCTTCTCACTGACAACTTTGCCCCTTGTGCTTTACAGGAATGCACMGATCCTAAGCAGTACTTTGCTCCCAGGCAATCCCCAGGTCTCCAGCATGAAAAATGCTGCATTTCTGTTTAGAAAGTTCCTCCTTTTGGTAGAGAGGATAGAATTTTAGACTCCAGGACTAACCCACCATATCTCCCATCTATTTGCACTCTCCAGGCCAAGGAGGACAACACACAGCTTTCTCAGTTTTAACCTGCCGAATAATTGGAAATAATAAGATTTCAKAGTTTTACATGAATCTGTCATAAGAGTTTTGATGAATCTCATAGTAGGTGTGAGGTTCAGTAAATCCAGGCTGCCAGCTGTAAAAATCCCCATGACAAAGCAAGGCTTTACAAGCACTAAGACACATTAAGAGCATTTAATCATGTTCTTTTATTGATCTGCCTTGCTCAGACTGATGGAAAATAAGAAGCCTTTTGTCATCACAGGTTCTGTCATCTTCCTCTCTTCAGAAACTGGGCTACACACAAGCAAAGTCTGGCCCTCTCACTCTGCAGGACCTTGGGAACAGTACTGACCAGACATGGGACTTCATTCAACAGGGAGTGTAGGGAATTTGTGCCCCTTTAAAATAAAACAAGGGGTATTCTAACGAGGCAAGCAGCAGACATGTTTTATAGAGTGCTTCTCATAACGCTAAGTCTAGAAGACAGTTAATCTCCCCAGAACTCTTTTCGGGCACTTTTAGGCCTCAGCATGTTTAAGGGTGGGAACGTGTGGCCCCTTGTTGTGCTCTAGCCAGATGAATCCTTTCCAAGCTGGGCTCGTGGCATTCCTGGACCATGCCTGGATGATATTCACCAAGATACACTTCTTATCCCTAGTAAGTCTGTGTCCCCTCTCATCTCAGTCCTGTAGGGATGCACTGCTGATGGGCAGCAGGTATCACAACACACTGTAATTTCTTGAAGGCCTTTGCAAGGCRACGGCTGCGGTGCTCTGACCATGAGGCTGTTCAGCTCTTTTGCTGCCTTCATTTCCAGGAACCAAGTCACAGGGAAAGGGGCTGCCATCAACTCTGCTGTGGAGGATGCCAGTCCCTCAGCATGTCCCATCTTGAGTAACACCAGGAGAATGTTTTATTTTGTTTAGCAYAGGCAAGTCTCATTGCACAAAATGGACATAAAAAAAAAAAGTGTGTAATAAGAGGCAAAGAGAACTATTCCAAGTTAGAAATGTTTAAACAAAGTCATTCTCTAGAAGCAGCCTGCAAATTAATGGCAGTGAATTGTTCTTTTCTTTGTATCCAAATGAGAGACAAGATGAAATCAGAAGGGAATCTGAAGGAAGAACAAAAGTGGCTGAGGTCATAAGTTTTGTTTCATTAAAGTAAAAATAGTCMTCACATGGGAGACATCTCCTTGCTCCCATATAATGTCTCTAGTTCTTCTCTACAGATAATTGCTACAAACCTGTGTCACTGTAGAAATAAACTCATGAAATAAAAACTCTTCAAACAGTATTAATGCTGTGGAAAAGCTTGGTCTAATATTGCAAGTGAAGTGCTTCTTAAATATCATTCAGGTAATAACTCAGAGATATTGCAACAGAACTTAAACACTGTTGAACAATTTACTATGGGCAGTCCTTTTCTAAAAGAGTAGGTGGTTAGAGCTCATCCAAAGCACAGTAGACAATCGGATTTGCAATTAATATACTGCTTTAGAGAAAGCTGATTATTTTTCACCTCAAACTCCTCAGTTTCCAAAGATTCCCCCTTACATCACAGCAATGCAATATGGATCCTCTCAAGGCTGAAACAGTGCAATGATGGGTGCTAATTAAAAAAAGTGCACAAATAAGTAGCCGAAGCGACAGCAAGAACAGGGGAAAATCATTGCTGAAAGCCAGAAGAGCGCTCCAAGCAACTCAAAACATAAAGTTATACTGCTTTTCAGTGGAATGCTTTGCTCCATTGCATCACATTACAGCAATTAAAGAAAAAAAATCACAGACCTCAAGGGATTGCTACAAGATCATTTAAGTGAGTCTTTCACGGGAAGAATTCAAAGTTTAGAATATTTAAAGAATATTTTAGACAAGATGGAGGAGTTGCACACTGAGAACAATGCTGCTTCATATGACTGCTGCAGTTATAATTCTGACCAGAAATCTCCAGCAAAGCTTCGGTTTCCCCCCTAGCAAATGCTGGATGTAGCTTTTGTTCCCAGACATAGTTTAGAAAAAAAAAGAAAATGAGTGATGAAAAACAACTGGACTTGCAGCTTAAAATTWTGCTTTGCTAAATCGTTTCATGAATCTTTTTGACTTGAGCATCTTCATTTAACCTCCCCTCCTCCCATAGGAAACCACTGGCCCAAGAGGACACGATCGGACTGCTGTGGCTTATCCAAAGCAAGCAACTCTGAGTGCCCAATGACTAGCCCCTACATCTGAGCCTGTGAGTTTCAGGGGTTGCATGTGCCTACCTAGCTTATGGATCTCCATTTTCCTTTATTCTCTGTGCAAAATCCCACTCTCCTCTGCTGTGCAATTTTCCTGTGCTACTCCAGGATAAATCTCTGCCTACTTGAAATTACCACAAAATCCTCTGCAGATCTGCACATGGATTACTTAAAATGCTATGCATGGAACTGAAGAAACGACACCTTGCTGTGCCTTGACCCAGGAATGGAGCATATTTATGCTGATGAGAACAGAAATCATCCTGGCAAATGTGTTTTCCTTAGGGTTTTCTTTTATTTACTTGCCTTCATTCTTTCCTGCTTCCTGTAGTATATTTTATCTGTTGCTTTTTGCATTGAAATGAAGGTATCTACAGTCACCACAAGCAGCATCTCGCAGTAAAAAATGACTTCTTCATCTACTTGGTACCATTCTGCTAAGTCTGGGACATTTTTCCACAACACATGACTACAGTGACACAGAGAAGCAGCCTGCTTAAATCTTGATGGAGACAACTCCCTCTTGATGGAGACAATCACACCTATGATACCCACAGCAGTGGTTTCAGGGTGGCAGTACCAGCACGTGGGGCGGCCAGGCTCCCCACTAAAGCTCTGCTGAGTACACGGGCAGCACTCCACTCCTTGGCCTTGCCAAGCAGATTCATTCCTCCAGCTGCAAGAGCTCACAAGCAGCTCCCTGGTTTGCTGCTATGGGGCAAGCAGGAGGAGGGCTGCCCTTGCAGGTTCCCAGTCCTGTGAATTGCCTTTTATAACAGTCTCAAGTGTAACCACGGCTGTAACTAACTTGGGCTAAAAGCATGACTGAAGGATCAGCTTAAGAACACACAGGCTTCAAAACTACTCTACTAGGGAGTGATCAAGTGACCGTGATTTCTAGCAAGTGATAAACTGCTTATAATTCCTTTACAGCTAAAATAAGTTTCAAGCAATGACTTAGATTTATCTTTCAGATTACCAAAGTCTTGAACAATTTGGAAATGTGGAAAAACTCATTCATGAGGAACCAGGCAATCTCAGCTTTGCCCTCCTGTACATCCCATGCAAACAACAGCCAGACTCCCACAGTGTGATAATTTTAGACTTCATTGTGGTGCCAATATAAGATTGAAAAGAGTGAGGCATCACTGAGCTCCAGCTTGAAGGTTTTCCAGCCTAGTGCTTTAAAAAATACTTCAGCTCTATGTGGGTATATCAAAAGATCACAACATGTTTCTGGACACTAGAATAGCTAGGTAAACATTGAGTAGGAAAGGAGGAAGGAGATAATACAACACTGCAGACAGAAAGGTGACTTAAAGGATGCTAACAGTGCCAAAGGAGGCGCACGAGGAGAGAAAAACATCTCCTGTTACTACCAGGCACGAAGTAACTGTGGTACCTGGCTGTAGAGGAGAGTTTGAGGCTTAGAAATAGTTCAGTGATTTTCTACCTCATTCTGAGCACAGGTCACAGAAAACAAGTCTGAAGGGCTCTTGAAAGTGAGAAATTTCTCACTAAAGTGAGAAATAACCTGGGATAAGCTTTTTTATTTTTTTTCTCCTCCCCATGCAGGATGGCTGTGCCCCAGGGTGTGAGATGCAGAACCGTCCCCAGGCCATCCTGGAGGAGTGAAACAGCAACTCARTTCACCCGCCTGCAGTGACACAGGGGCACGCAGCTGAGTTGGGAAGCCCAGGTCTGCAAGCCCGGCGCAGGACCGAGCAGGTCACGTTGCAGGTCACGAGCGGGCGCCGCSGGATGGCCGATGTGCAGCGGCTGCTGAAGGCGGGCTGGCTTATGAGGGCAGCGACACCCTGCAAACGCAGGGTAAGTATTCACTGCACAGACCTCTTGGCCTTTAGGGGAAAACGTAAAAAGCTTCCCTTTCGGACAGAGCAGAGCTAGCTCCTTGAATTTATCCTGGCTCAGCATTACCTGGTATCACGCTCAACATAACTATAGGGGGAAAATACTGCGGGGGCAAACTCAGCATCTCCATGGGAATACAGATTTTCACAGGAAGATGGAAACAGCATCCTCAGAGCTCAGCCATCTCGCAACCACCTGCTGGCCTGGTCAGCATATATCTGCCTCCAGAACCCTCCAAAGGCAGGGCCCTTGTCAGCCTTTCTTCTTCCTTTTTTTTTTTTTTTAAACTATTTAAAATTTAACTGAACCACCTCTGCCACATTTTCCCTGTGTTGCGGCTCATGCAGATGCTTCTATTTTGTGGTATCGGCAAATGTATAATTTGAAAGCACCTCTCCCACATCTATAAAGGAGGCCAAATTAGGCTCCAATATTCAGCAGACTTATCCAAGGAATAATTCTGTGTCTTTTCTTTTTGTTGAACGGCTGCCTTAACCTACTACATTTACTTTCGAATTCATTAATTAAACCTGCACATCTTGCAATGTGGTTTCTAAAAATTGTTTTCCCCCTGCTTCTAGTAATCTAAACACGACCCAATTAGTGCATAGCCCTTCCTTCAGTTCAAGCTGGTGAAATCACTACTTATTTTTAAACTGAAATACTCAGAGATTGCTATGTATGTTCCTGGACACCTCATAGCAAGATTTCATCATATAATCTTAAAGCTGAAAAAATCCAATATTAATTGACCACGGATTTGCCTAAATTTGCATATAAGATTTGGCACACAGCTGACCAGCTCCACCAGAGATTAAAGAGAGAGTCCCTTTGTACTCCTAAATCTCAGTGATTCTAACACCACTCACGGCAGAGCCTTTGAAACACCCAGCTTTGAACGAAGCCGCGGGCACAGCTGCCGAGGCCCTGGGTTTCTCCACAGCTCTCTGTTTCCAGGTACCCCCATGCAACGGTCTGCAAGCTCCCAGGAAGCACAGCCAAATTTGAAGATGCAGAGCCACTGGCCCATATTATGAGGAATCATTTGTTTCCAGCTGTTCCATTTGTGCTATATTTTCATTTCAGCTGGTGCCATTTGCATTTTATAGCTTCATAGCTGAATAAATTTAGTTAAAACCTTATTATCAGGCTTTGGTCCCATTTCTAGTTATCTTCCAGAAACATGTGGGAGCTGTAGCCATAAACTCCGTACACTAGTCTCAAAGCCAGTCCTAGATTAAAATGTTGATTCCATCTCTGCAGGAAATGAAACCCAGGTGCTCAGTAACTGTAGATCTACAGCCAGGTTTGGAACACCCAGATCCAGAGCCTTTCAATACCATTTATCTCTCTCTAATAGGCTGGGTGGAAATGGTGGGTTCAGAWAAGTTTGGTTTGTTTGCATTCCTTTCCTGCTGCACTGAGTCCTGGAGCCCTTGCCCCACATCTGGGCTCACAGTTTTGGATGAGATGCAATACATTAAATGCTAAATGAAGCTTTCTCTTCCAAGACAAGCAAGCTTTATGATTGCCTTGCTGATCAGAACCAGCAGGAGAAGCCTCAGCTGACAAAATCAACTTTACACCTATAATTGTTCACACCTAACGTATGGCCACAGGAGATCCCAATAAACAGGGCTCTGCTGCCCTAGTAGATGCTATCGAGACTGAGGAAAGCAGAGACTTATCCGTGCCAACCCAGGCACCTGAACACTCTTGTTTTCCACCTCTCAGAACATGCATGCACAGTTCCTGCAGGAAGAGATGGAAATGCTTTCTCAGTGACTTTAAAATAAAAAAGAGAGAGCAAAAAACATCAACCAGGCAGTGTGAGGAGAAATGAACACACGAGTGGAGTCACGTCCCTCTCCCCCAGTACCTTACTGATGGAGTTTGGCGTCTGCGGTGTCTCGTCCTTCAGTGCTGAGGGGCTGTTCCCTTCCACGTCCTTCCCTGCAACAAAGCAGGATTCAGAAATRGAGGATTTCTGTGAGAAGAATCACAGCAAACTTACAGCCTTAGAGGGGCTGCTGCTAACAGAAAGCAAGAGCAGGTGTCATGAGCAACACCAAGCACGCTGAGGCCAAACACACAGACCTCGAGGAGCTTGAAATAACCTAGGGCTACGTGCTCAGCCTATGCAACAAGTACTGCTTGCAACTGATGGCTGGAAACACTCTGATAAACCAACGTGATGGGCACAAAACAACGTGATGGTTGCAGACTCCTGCATGTAAGGCTAGAAAATACCAGAAATCAGGTGGCTTATGCCTCCTTGATCAGCCCCCTTGCATGTCTGCACTACGATGCAAACTTTAATTACACACAGCCTGTTTTTTCCCCTTACACATCTCAWGTCTCAAAGCAAATAATAGATGATATCCAGTTAATAATAAGCTATTTAATATGCCAGCCTCCCTGGGCAGTATCTGGCAACTCTACATAGATTTGCATGATAGCATGCTTTGTTTGAAAAATAGTAGCCATGATCATAAAATGTTACAAGAGACAGAACTCCATACAGACATCATTAAGGAAAAAATATTGCAGATCAATGGAATGTCTTCTGACCAAATTATTTGTTACAATAAGAAATAATTGCACTTAATAAGTAGCATTTATGAAAACCACGACATTTTCTAATCAATGTAGGGAGATATATTTTCCTCTACSAACATACACTAAACTCTGAGTACATTATACACATTATACACTAGTATCAACACATGTAGTCCTGGCCAGGGAATAAAATGAAATGACAAATGCTGTTCTTTCTGCCAGCTATAATCACACCCTTACAGTAAAAGGAAGCACAGTGCCTCTACTTAAAAAAAAAAAGGCCAAAAAAATAGCATCTGATTAGACTAACTTCTCAGTGCCAAGACAGTCATTGTTATCCAATTGCAATGTAGTTTTCCTTTCCAAATGGTTAGCAATTAGAGATTCAATACTGGCTGCAGTACGGAAGGACCAAGCCAGGGGAATCCATAAGCCATTCACAGCACGCTGCAAACATGGAAACCAAGAGAAAGGTGTTGAAACTCCTGTGTGGWCAGGCCTTGGACACACACAGCAAATACAAACCCAGTGAGGGAAACCCTGGCTCTCCCAAAGCCAGGAGGACTTGCCATAGACATGYCAGAAGCTGCAGTGTCTCCTGCAGCCTGCAGCAGAGCCACTGGAGAAGCCAAGCAGCATGAGAAAAGCAGGAGCAGAAGCTCGCTGAAAAATAAGCATGCTGAGAATCCTGTTCTGCACTTCCACCCGGGACACGAGGGAGAACAAAGATCCTGTTCTCATCATGGATTAYGACCTGGATCTCCTCCCATTCCTCCATTCCTTTCTCTTCTGCGAAGGTGCTTTCCTCTCTACTACCCCTATACTCCCAAATGGGGGTAGAGGGATTTGGGATAAACTCACAAAGCTGTGTAGTTCCTGCACTTGTTTCCCATGCAGAGGTCTTTTCCCTGCTTGTATGGGAAAGTAGCATATGGACTAAAAGTTCAAGCGAAGTTAATAGGAGTCAGCTGCTGCTTGCTCTGAGGGAAAGGCATCCATTAGCGTAACAAAACTCACGTCCGTTCTTTAGCATGTCTCATTTCTCAAAGGAAACCTCGCTGCAAGCTGATATCCATACCAAAAGCCTGGACATCAGAGATTTTTGCCTTCTCTCAGGCACAGAGCCGAAAGCATTGGCACATTATCAGGGGTATTTTAGSTGTTTCTGCAGTTCTGGACCATCCCTCCCAGAATATTAGGCAAAGAGGAAAATGCAGTCGTTCACTCATACACACATTGGTTACAGAGATGCATGAAATAGTTTTATGGAGCAGCTTTATGTTAGTTCCTTATGTCAAACTCCCTGGGCATAYTGGCACTTGCAGGGGAAAGGCTGCTTTCTGGAGAGGAGCTGTTCTAGCTGTCTCGAGCAGACTTGGAGCCTTGCAAAGGGTGAGAGCCAAAGGGAGGCCTCATTTGGAAAGCCAGCAAAACCAAATGGCTTCTCTGCGAGTTTCTCAAACAGCCACACATGGAATTAAGGGTCTTGGAAGCCCAAAAGAGCCAGTGTCATCCTGAGCACAAGATCATAAAAGGACCTAAGTATTAACTTGCCCCATGGAAGCAGAAGCTCTCAACTCGCTGACCAAAGAAACAAAGAATAACACAGCAAGAGAAATTACTGGGCTATGGAAGGATTCACTATTAGCTCCACATAGCAATTCTTTTATAGAGTTTTTGATAAAGTTTTTTGACAAAGTTTTATAGAGTTTTTGATAAAAGCTCAGCTACCAGAGAAAGGGCAGGCTCTGATGCATCATAAATCTATCAGCAATAAAGCCCGCCCCAATGCCATGAATGTCACCTCAGTAAATAGCAGCCACTTGGTCTACACCAGGCTGAAATTTAGTTCCAGCTATCTCAGTGAAATTCCCATTTTCATTAAAGTGCTTCTTTTAAGATGCAATTAGGCTAATCTAAATTTTTATTTAGAGACGCAGTGTGATACTTCAGCCTAGTAAATTTTTAAAGGAAAAAAAGTTCCCTAAAATATCTTTTAGCCACTCCTATAATAAATTTCTGCCATGCTGTAAATATTGTACCCATTGAAAGAATGAGAAGAGAGAGATTCTTTCCCTTCTTTTGCTATGGGAAAAAAATGACATGGACAAGGTGAATGAATTAATGTATTTTTAAGAAAGTTTATAAACCAGAGAACATCTTCCTCAATTTTTAGTTACCATATAATAAAGGCTTAAATATGCAAAGAAGTCAAAGAAAGAGGAAAGAAGTTGCTTGCAAATAAAGTCCGCTGGGACCTGAAAGCACAGCATGATTAAGTGGAAAATACTCCAGAACTGAAAGTTCATGTAAAACAAGAAAGAAGTGAGAGACAGAGAGACTGGAAGTAGCTTCCGAATCGCAGCTTATCCTTGGTTGCATCCTTTACAGGGAATGGAGAAGGTGCAAAAGAAGCAAAGATGCTCAGAGTAAAACAGGGCAGGAGAAGGAAGGAGAAAAGAGAAGCAAACAATAACCAAGTGTCAAGAATAGCATCTACTTCTCACAGGAAATCTGTGGCAAACAAGGATGAGCACTGTTGAAATGGGGAAAGAAAGAAAAAGGAAGACAATCCAGACACCTTCTGCACAGATCTCCCCTAGCTGAAGCAGTAACTTTTGTTTATTTAAAAATGTCATTCTCCCCTTTAAAAAGTTTTCTTTGGCCTCTATTCTTCTGGTATATGAGATCTGAGACATACAGGACGTTAGACGTCCTGTTTAAGTTGTCCTTGCTTTGATGATGAAAAGGCTSTTGAAGGTTCTGATGATCTCAGCCGCAGCCAGGTCCATTGAGCACTGCTGAAAACAGGCTCGTTCCTCATTTCCTTGGAGCAGGGACCCACAAAGAGTGATACCTGCAGTCAGAGGCCCTTGAAATCTTTCCACTGAAAGACAATTAGCTCCTGAACCCCGAGCCTGGCTTCGCTCACCTGCAAAGCCCAGACAGCTGCTGAGCGTTACGCACAGATGAGCACTGAAGGCTTTTGACACATGTCATATCCTTTCTCCACCTCTCAGCATTTCTAGACTTCATCTAGGTACTGTGAGGTTTGATTAGTTTGCACTGACATGGCAACCACAAGTGACAGCTCTTGCACACTCTGCAAGGGCTCTCTCAGCTAAGCCCGAGGTGCTTGTTTACAGATGCAGCTGAAGCCTTTCTCACGAAGGGCAATCAACGGAAGACATTCCACAGACTGTTTATTGCAAGCAGCAAACACTGAAGCAATACAATGAGCTCTATTTCCTCTAGATTGAAATCTAACAGATTCAAAGTAAAAAAAAAAAAAAAAAACAACTCAAAAGCGAGCCTGCAGCTTTCTGCAAACTGGCAAACTGACAACAGTGCTGGGAAAAGTGCTTGTAGATATTTACAGACCATTAACCACTAAGTCTGCTCTTGTGATACTTATCCTGGGCTTTGGACCTGAATAGGGAATGCTGCCATTAGAAGTYTGAAAAGTGTCCTGGGCAACGGTTTAAAAGACCCCCAGCATTTTGGGCAAAACACACCAAGCACCTCCAAGGGCAAGTGCCCCAAAACATGGACCATTTCTGAAACATTTCTGAGGCCAYACAGTGTTCAAAGGGCTTTGAACCCAATCTCCAACGCCCACATTAAGTTATTTCTCTTCCTGGCCATCCCCCTGCCTCCCCAGCTTCCCCACAAAGAAACAACCCCTCTATTTGCAGCCGAGCACCTGAAGGACCGCACCGATTTTTCCAGTACGAGAGACAGGCGGTTCAACAGGGGCAAGAAAGGAGACGCTCAGCACCGGTGCGGCAGAAACCCACCTGGGCTGAGYGGGTAGATGTCATTGTCGGTCCCAAAGAAGAGGTTGCGTGTCAGCTTGCGAGGGTCGACCTTCTGTGGGGTGGACGAGGCCGGGCAGAGGGAGAACCTGCGCCGAAGGAAGTTCTCCTCCTTCATGGCATGAGCTGTAGGGGTTTTCTGCAAAGGAAAGAGAGAAAGGGTTTATTTCAAGACACAGGAAATCAAGGTTTCACACCCAGATGACTCTGCTGCTTCAAAGCTACATCGGCCTAAACAGTGTGCCAGATCTTTTTATAGTGTGCCAGAAGGCTATGTAGAGAGAAAAAAAATAAAAATAAAAACTGATATTGGTTGGAAGTTGGCATTAGTGATCTGCTGACTCCCACTATTTGCAAACTGCCGGGAAGCAGGGCACTGCTCCTCAGTCAAACCYGCCACTATAACCTCTGCTCCTCAAAGATCTCTCTAGTAAAATAGCTACTTAGTGTGCCTATCTAATGTATAGTAGCTAAAATTCCTTTTTTTAAACTTTCTTCTTAGGGTTTTGGAGTCTTTCCTAAGTGTAACACCACCAGTGTCAGCAGGGTTTCAACACTGCCCCAGGATTTAGTCCAAGCTGCCTGGAAGTCTGGCTGCCAGGAAGAAAGAGCAGCAAGCGGGGACCTGCAGGGCACTAGGATGGAAGAGCACRGGCCTTACTTCCTAAAAGGCTACATACAAGTAAGTTTTAAGGATATCCCTGAACATGCAATGTCTTATCCCTCCCCACTAGCCATGTGGGTGTAAAAGGCTAACGAGTCAGCAGCAGCTTTTTAGCACCACTGCTTCGCGTGACTCGCGACGCGACTGCCTGGCAAAACTCTCTGCAAACACACCCTGGGGGACCCAAATCCCCATGTTCCCACTCTGACCGATGGCATCCCCAGAGCACCAGGTAACTCATCTTCCTCGTGTTTGGCAYTGTAAACAAGCCTCTTTTTTTCTCCCTGGCATAGATGCTGTTTTGATGGCAGAGAACTGCAGGGGGAAAGGGAGAAGAAAAGAGAAAAAAAATAAAGTTAACCTAAAAAAAAAATGTAGCTAGTTACACGTCTCAAAGCAGCATACTCAAAAACAATCTGTATCTAAATAGCTGCTTTGGGAATGCTAACACAGGGCTATTTTCTGCCCTYGTTCCCAGAAAGGCCGTAGCAGCTCACCCGCTTTGAGATTGCTCTGGAGGAGCTCTGAGCCAAAGCAGAGCTCAACAASCTGCTCCCTGGACAGCCAGGACCCACCAGGCCAGGCTACCTGCACTAGCACTTCTGTCCATCCAGCTCTCCCCTTCTTGACACAAGGACAAAAGAATAAAGCTGCATTCAGCATCATGTTGCCACAACAGTAACACAAGGTATAAGCTGAGAACTACCACGATGTCACACAGATGTTGGTGGCAAAGCTCCTGAAGGCACCTGAGCACAAGCAGGTTGCCTGTCTGAGTGGATCTACCAGAAACGTCTCCTTTCACCTGCTGCTACATACACTATGCAGAGAAACCAACGCTCTACCCTTCCCCTCTCCTATTATTTTACACCTTTCAGCCACAGGATAACTGACAGGATTATTATGCTGATGCTCTCTCCTTGACACACTTATTTAAGCCACTAGCCTGAGACCAGGAAATCTTGCTGTCCTGCTCAACTGAAAAGCCAGGGGGTGATTGCAAAGGAAAAGACTTTTTTGTCAAGCCTGTAATAAGCTCTGATTCTTCTCTTACACATCTCGTTATAGGCCAACAGTAGTTCATATCTTTTAAGCTACAAAGCTCAACTGTAGYGATTTCACTTGGAATGGGCTCTTTGAGGCCGACTTCTCATGGTCGAAGCTCATCGAGATGCAGCAGCTGTGGATCTGCCCGCTGGCTGCCCACATGTGCCCCTCCACACGTGCCACATCACCATCACTCCAGCCTTTTTCCAAAGAGCGCCTGCCGCGGTGTCACTCCAGCCTGTTTATGGAGACCTGGTGGGAAAAGCTCCCTCCCTGGGCTGGCCCTAACCCACCTGGCTGTTCTGCTGTCTGTGCTTTCCTGGGCTTCACTGCAGCTAAAAGCTGATGGCACTTGCACCTTTCCMTCAGTGGGCTAGATGGTGTACATGCAGCTCGACTCACCTCCTGTTTGGGTAAAAGAGGTGACAGACGTTGGCTCATTCTATGAAATCAACCTATCTTAGACTCCCCTGGCATTTCATTCASGGAAAAACTGAGACAGACAAGCTTAACCTACAAGATTTTACCTTATTATGCAGAAAGTGCAGCAGAGAATTGTACAGAAGGACTTGCCAGCATGTCAAGTTTTTTGTACATCAGACACTTTGATGCTTAGTGGGAGAAAATGTAGTTCACATTATTATGATTCTACAAAACTGCTGTAATTTTTGTGCCTGTGGCTCTATGTCTACCACACTTCCTCCTCCTCTACCTTCTCTACCTTCTGCCTTTCATACAGCATTGGCAAAAGTCACAGAAATGTACAGATCTGTATGTGTAGGGTCTAGAAAACCTGAACATACTGAAGCCTTAAAAGCTACAAGAAAATCAATGGCCAGTAAAGGAAGGATGCTGTATCCCCACCCTCTGAAAAAAAGGACAGGATTGTAGACAATCACTGGACACCAGAGCATCCAACATAAGCTCTGCCTCCATATGAGAGCAGAAAAACAAAAAGGAAACGAACAACACAAGCTGCATTAGCTCACTTACCCAGAGAGCTACTTGTTGTATCTTTCCACGGAGCTCTGAATTTTCCTARCCTGGAAAATTCCATAATGCTCTGCAGAACAGTTGCTGACACCGCACAGTCAGAATCCAGGGCCAAGTGACTTAACAGGAGACTGGGAGGAGTTTAGCATTTCTTACACTGGGGCTCTCCAGATCCCCAAATAATCCACCCTCAGCCCAAAATCACCTGGGAAATGCGAGGGGGCACATACAAGGGGTGCCATGAGTACAGCCTTGCACTAGACTAACTTTTTTACCATTAATGCACCATTACCTAGAAAACGCACAAAAATCAACTGGTCATAAAACAGCAGATAAAAAAGCAGCAGCAGAAGATACACTTCTAGGCACAGGTTGCTTGTAGGTCTGGGCTCAAACCTTGCCTGGTTGATTTGAGGACAACATTGTTGCTCTGCAACCCAGATCTACTTTAAGCCACTACGTTGAAGGTTACTTCAGGATATGACAGATGCTTCAYGGAAGCCAATTCTGTGAGTATCAAGGAAGACAGAAATTGTGACAGAAATGCAAAACGGGGCAAGAATTCCACAAGGTCCCAAAATTTGCTGTTATACAACCAAACCACTTGCTCAACGCAGGGCAGCAAATTTCACTCCCTGTTCCTGCTTCTAGTCCAAACCCGGCAGATGAGACAGGAGTTAGTCTAAAACACCATGTGTTGATTTTGAGACTACAAGTGATAGAGAACCCACGTGCTCTCTTAGAAAACTAACCTCATGACYGAAAACCACCAACTTATGTCTTTTATGAAGGTATCTGGTTGCTAGATCTTCTTATGTTTTAATACACTAAAGACCCCTCTACTGAAGGCTGCTGGCTCAGGTAATTTCTGGGCTTCCCTTAGGCAGTCTCGATCATAAAAATGAAGGAAGTTAATACAGAGAGTATTGACGGAGCCACTAAGCAGGGTATTATTCAGGTTGCCCCTTGTGTGTTGATAGCTCTTTAAACCATAATGTACTATTAAGCGGGAGCTGTTCGCCAGGGCTTAAAGAGAATAAATAATTCAGGAGCAAGAAATAAATTTCTTGCTAACCTTGTCTTTGGGACTATTCTGTCTTTTTAAAAAGGGAAAGATGTAGCAGATGGAGTCTCAGTCAAGCCATCATGAAACACAAGGCCCTGGAAGAGGGAAATTTAAGAGGGTGCAAACACCTAATGGTGATTTTTGCTCATGAAAGGCTTCAGTAATAGCCAACAAAACAGAAACTTGGCAACGAAGAGCAGTTATTTTTTCATTTTCAGAAAACCTCACAGCTGCTGTTACAATGTACAGGCACTGCCAACACTCTCCGCTTCTGATGTTGGATCCATTTTGCATGGGGACAACAACTAGYAACTCTATAACTAAAATATGCTGGTGCTGAAATGCCTTTCAATGTAGTTTTTCTGCATTTTGGGTCTTCTCTGCTTGCAGGAAGATAGCAGCCCTTCTTAGCAACTGGCCTCAGCTTTGAGGGATGGAATTTTCCTGGCTCCATCTTCAAATTTTCTAGATTCGTGACATATAATTACCACTGAGTTAAACACTGTGCAGGCATTGTGCTGCCTCTACCCTCCGCAAGCTGGTGGGTAGACTGGTTTGCTTACTGTCCTTTTCAGCTTTTTAAAATAGACTGAAATATGCACATCCCTATAAATAGCTCATTAAGGGTTTGGTATGGTCAAGAAGGCTGCGTTAGTTAAAGACGGCTCTTAATTTATTCAAGGCTTGTTCCAAACAACCTTCTTTTTTTTTTTTTTTTTTTTCTGGTCATTAAATATTTCCCAGAAATCCAATTGAACCATGTTTTGTATACACAATAGTAATCTACACCAGAATCTGCATCAACAAGGAAAATTAAATCTAAAGATACTGACATTTCCTGATTCAATTAGCCCCAAGGAGCTGAAACTTTCATGAATGAAAAGAGAAGGCAAATTATTAGCAGACACACTTCAAGCTRTTACAGTCCCAACTACTGACATGGAAAAACAGCAGCACGTATCTTCCACGAGGGGGAATTACTAGTTGAGTGGTGCACTGGTGATTTACAAACTACCAGTCCAGTCAGATTGTCTTTGAAATTCATTTCTGGCAGCTTCTCCTAAAATACTCCTTTTCTAAGACAGTTAATTGGGCCACCAACCCCCTACTCAAGTTAAATAAAACCAGGCACAATGAAAACCGCCCCTGCAGGCCATTTTTCTTTAAGTAACCCATGTTTTGGGTTAAAGATGTGGCAAAACACACATATTATAGGATACACTGAATGTCTGAGCTGTCAGGCTGTCTGCCGGAACCTGAAAAAGTGCAGTTAGTCACTCAGCTTTGTAATGGTCCAGAGGGGAGACTAAACAAGGCGAGTTACTGAAAAACACTATTCTGCAATCACGGAGCAAAGCTGCAAAAGAACAAAGCTACAGATGGCACCGCTTCGATTACATGAATCAGCAAAGGTAATTCTCATTCTCATCTGCTACAGCAAGCTCGGGGGCTGTGTGATGAGTCCCAGCAGTACACAGGTGGCCTTGCATACCCCATCTCCCTCCGGGACRAGCAAAGACCATCAACAGCAAAATTAAAAGCAACAGCAGGAACCAAATGCCTAAGCTGTGATTAAAAAATAATAATAAATTTTAAAAAATCTCCTGATATTCTAGTTCTGGGAATCCCTATGTGAGCGTGAGTTAAAAGAATGGAAGGTAGGAGCACAAGGTGCCATACATTTTTATTTGATGCATAGGAAAAGCTCATCTTACAAATCAGCTCTGATTTGGAGAAATGTCTCCTGTGAGCAAACATGAGCCTGGCACTGAAGCCATGTTGCGATTGTGAGGGACCCCCACACTTTCATAGCTTTGAAATGGGCTTTGTGTACTGCAATTAGTACTAACTACACAATCCTCATGTGTTTTGTCTCAAAATACTTGCAGTTTACTCTGTAAACATTATGCTAGAGTTTTGCTCAGGGTAAGAATATGAATGAGTGGGTTTCTGAAATGAAGGCTTAGTAACAACTTTGCCAGGCATCTCCTCTGACCTTTAAGCCATAAAGTCATTGTTATGTAGGGGACTCTCAATTTAACAAAGCACATTACGTTTTCCACTAGCACTGAGGGGCCTCTCCTGACTTAGCAACTTCCCTGGTCTTTCCCCTTGCTAACTGCACAGATCATACCTCACTTGCTGTAATTACAGCTAGTACATCTGCTTTAATTACTGCCCTTGTAATGGTAGGCAGATGCAGAATTAAGCACCAGAAGGATGACAGTCCCCAGCAGCCAGCAAATGACAGCAGTGAACAGCTTTCCTAACAGATCTTTGTCTCAACCCCCTTGCTTTATCTGCAGTAAATCACACGTCGTATTATCTCTTTTAGGTCCTGATACATCAAGGCATCTCTACTGGCTAAACATCACGTTCAGGCAGTTTCTCARAGCACCCATCTCTGCAGGAAGGTAAGGTGCTTTCTTTGATTCCTATGGGCTAATACATTCAACTGAGGGCAACCGAAAGTCAATCACAGCCGTTCAGGATACACCAAGGATCTGACTGGTTTAAATAACATCTACCATTATGTGTTGCTGATATCAATAGTTGGGCAGGCTTATAAACAAGGACAAGAGAAATCAAAATACAGATTAGCAATGACTTTCCCCCAAAAGGAAACACACCACCAAGCGCACATGYAAAGGAAAGGAAAACAGGCCCCTTGCCCTTCTGATGCCATTTCCATACCACACACTAGCCCAGAAGCTCCAGTAACAGCCCACTTTGAAACAAGCCCAGGAGGGGGACCTCTCCTTTCAAAAACGCGTCTACTTGTGTACTTCTTTTAATTTTCAGTCAAATGACACAAAAATTCACATTGATAYCATAACCGATTCTTGTGGGTAAATTCTGGAAGACCTCCAGAGGCAGTCAGACATTGAGGTGTAARAGCCATTCATGTACATAAACACGGCTTAGTTTTGCCCTGGCTAGCCTGAGCACGGCTAGCAGGGTGCTGCTCCAGGCCAGKCCATAGCTCGAGTGAAAGGCAGTGCTCCCCAACATTGGCAACACGTGCAGGGCACCAAAAAACACAGTGACTCCGAGCACTGAAAGCTTGATCRAGTTAAACAAACATTGAGCTTTGAATTTATGTACAAATAACACCAAGCCCAAAGGCAAAGGCATTAGACATATGACTCAAACCCCATCTAGCTGAAAAGCCAATATGAAGCGTTCCGATTCCTTTTTATTGCTGCYATTAATATTGATCGCTCGTCCCCTGGGGATTTTAGCATGCTTGAGATGTGCTGCGTACGCCTCTCTGAGCCTTGTCATTTCAAGATGCAAGTCTCCACTTTCCAGGGATAGCACAGATGTAAAGGATACCTGCCTTCAACCCATTAACCTGCCTTTCCAACAGCCATCCACAATTTTGCATGTGCTTCCTTCCCAATGCCCTGTACCTTCCACACACACTGTCAGTAATTTCACCCAGTGACTTCTAACATCTCCCTTTCCATCGGCAGCAGCAGCCACATCTTCAAGGTATTTTTTTTGATATTTTTCTTTAAAAAGAGCATATTAAACAGCATCATTATAGCCTTGTACTGCTATCTAAATCACATAATGAGATCATATTCCTTTTTAATGGAAGGATCCTACTTGAAGCTTTAATGACATTTTAAAAAATCAACCCAACTACTGCAAGCCTTGCTGATGACTTTCTATGATATCCACCTCTGCTTTTATATAATTAAATCTAGAAATGATTGTGCCTCAGGGCTGCCCTCCCACCACACAATTAGTAGGAAATACCAAGCTAATTTTAAGACTCGCTTATGTGCTTGATAGTGTCCTCCTGACATCAGTCCCTTGTTTGCGAAATACTGCTCCCTTGCAAGAAAACAACAATAACCGTCCCCCCCCCCAAAAAAAAAAATCAGAGTCACCGAGTGCTGTGACACAGTGATCCAGAAATCTTCCAGTCTTCCGCTTTGCTGTTCCTCCTGTTAGACCCAAACCAGTTCCGTAAACCTCAAGGGGCTGGACAAGGAGGGGAGAATAAACACAACCAACTACATCTTAGGGAAGTGCATCTATTTTTGAAAAGATCCTTATATGTCCCCCATTTTACTCTCCCAGCTTTCTTGGTTGCTGTAATTACCATGGTCTGCTGTGCAGCAGCTGAAATCTAGCGTGCCACTTAAACTCCCTTTGACACAGCTGCTACCCCGACACTTTAATGGAAATTAGCATAGTATGTGTTTCTGCACAAACTTCACCGTTTCTAGACGAGAGCATCAAGCTCTTCTTTCGACAATTCGAAGGCAGCACAGAAGTTATTTTGGTCCTAGGGTTTTAATTAAAAATCTTCATGGGAGGAGGAAACTAGACAATCCACAAAGAGAATTTTGGGTGGGATTTATGCCACATAAAAGGACCCCAGAGGACTCGGGCCGCACACAGACTGACAATCTCCCCGTGTCTGCACTGCTGACTCCTCCTCTGCTCGTAGGAGCTGCTGCATGGAGTGCAGAGGCCAGGCACAGAGCCACAGGGCCATAACTAGAGCCTTGGAGACGCACAGAAATGAGGCAGTTATGGGTGCACTTTGCCCCYGAATTCATTTCAGCCAAAAGGAAGATCTCCGAGTGACTCACATATGCTCTGTGCTAGCTGCAAGCTTGCTTTTCTAAGAGCATCCAGCTAGTGGCAATTTGTTGGAAACACCTGATACTGAGGRCCTGAGCTACCTCTCCCTCATATTGCTTTTATATTGAGCTAGTCCCAGCCATGCTAGTCCAGGCCAAGCACCTTGCCCACCACGCCAAGGCTATCTTATATTGACATGGAAAGATTCAAGGAAACAGTCCCAGCTGAAGGGAAGCAATAGTGCTGAAGCACAAGCCCTCCTCTTTGCCAGCCCTGCCCGTGGCCCAGGGGCTCAAAAGTCACCTGCAARACACTGCTCTGCAGTGCGGACTGCGGCCAGCTCATCTCTCCCACAGCTCCAAAGCCTCCACAGGCTCCACGCACATATTGTACTGCTGCTCTGTGACTTTTCCAAAGTAAAACTAAACACAGCAAACTAAAATATCTTGAGTAGGGGACATTTGGGTGCCTTTTTAAAAGAGTGGTGCTGCCTCTCAGCCCACAGCACTGGGGGGCAGTCTGGGCCGACAGGGAGGCAAACCTTAGAGACCTGCAACAAGCGGTGGTGGTCAGAGCCAACGGGCTGTTTGGGGGGAMCACCTGGTTGCACTGCAACAGCAAGCTCCAAAACTACCACCTTGGAGTGGTTTATAAAACCTCACCTTGGAGGGGTTTATAAAGACAGCAGCCCAGATGGACAAGATCTGAAAAGTTTGGGACGGCAGCAAGGGAAGCACTTAAAAAGGCAAGGTGATATAAACAAATAAATAAAAGGTGATATAAACAAATATCACCAAAATTAAGGAAGCACTTAAAAAGGCAAAAGGCTAGAGGGTCAGTTGCTGGCGTTTTAGTGCCTCTGAGAGGTGAAAAGCCCTCAATATACATGCCAAATTCCCTTGCACAGCAGGAGCTTGCACTGCTATTGCAGCTATCAGGGATAAATACTATTGCCCAGCAATTAGCAATCAACTGGCACAGCACCCAGAGCTAGGAGCTGTGCAAACATGTAGTAAATTACTGTCTCTGTGCCAAAAAACCTATTAGGTTTCTGTCCCAAGCAGCCCCTCACACCCAAATACGTTTGCGAACAGAGCAGCAGAATGTGCCAGGTACTGGCAGAGTCAACCAGCGAAAACTGAGCCTATATAAACTGCCCTAAAACAACCTCTCCTCTTGCAGGAGAAAAGGGTCATGCAGCTTTATTTATTCTGTGCTAGAAAAACCAAACCAAACCTCAAAGCTTTAGTTAGGTCCCCGATCAGCTAGATTAGCAGCCGCACTGGGAAAAGCCCATCAATAAACCCACAATATTTGGGAATTAAAGTATGTGACCTGAATTTTTCAGAGTTTCCCCCTTCCGCACTTGCCTGCTGATTTCCAATGCTGCTAAGCACCTCTACATTCCCCTGCCAGCTTACAGGCATTTTCAAGAAAGCATTACTGTAATTTGCATCTCTGCCACGGCCCCTTACAACCCCAGCACGCTGCAAACGCACACAGAGGCCAACAAGCAGCCTGAAAATGAATGAAGCCTTCTGTATCTTATTGAAAACCCCAGGCATGACTCACGTGTCCCGACTTCACAGCCAACATACCAGCCGAGCCTTAGTTTCTTAATTGCAAATCCCATTGGCAGGCAAAGCAACGCTGAACCCTTCCAGCACCGCTCCAGTCGCAAAGGCAAGACCGCAAACGCGCACCCAAAACCGGCTCGCCAAGGAGCTGCTCAGGCAGCCTGCGCACCCAGACTTGTTCTAGACATGGCTTTGAATCGGTTCCTCTACTTTGAAGTGCTATTTATCGATAGAATTCCGCCAAGGCAACTGAAGCGGGGATGCAGTCGCAGGCAAAGCGGAGAGGGCGGTACTGGAATAGCCTGCTCTCTGTTCCCCCAGGGAAAGGAGCCATGGCAGTGCCAGCSTGTTCACAGCGGGACAGCAGCACCGTGGAGGGTTGCATCAATCTACAGAAGTGCAGTTAAAAGCAGYGCAACCTGCTTACATAGGCAAGGCCTCATTTTATACACAAGTTGCTTCTCGTCTGGAAATAACAACATGCAGCAGCAAAACACCTACTCTGCAAGCAACACAAGCAACGCAGGGCAGCATCAGGAGGCTGAGGGTTTTAGCTGAACAACATTGCCAGCAGCTGATAACGATTGCTGTGAATAAAAACAATRCAAGGAGAAGGCATTTTCATGCTGGCAGTCAAATATTGCTGGTTTATACCTTGCCCATGCCTTTCCTTTGGGCAGCTGAACATTTTTTTGCTCAGGCTATTTAGCAGCAGAAAGCAATAAAAAGGCCGACAGCGTTGGATGAGACCAACACCCTGCAAATATCCAAATATGAAGCTAAACACAGAGCCCCACTGCCAGCACAGCTGTTTTACAGCCTAAAGCCCAAAGGAGACTACGCAGTTTTTGATGCACATATTTCGGTACTTATAAACCCAATTCCCAGCAGCTGATAGGGGCAGCTCTTGGGAACGGACACTGATCCCAGCACACTCCCCATGTGTCCAGGACCCGCTGCTCTCTGACCACCGCTACAGGGGAAGAAAACACTCGAAACAGGCACCAGATGCTCCAGCACAGCAGCGTGGTGGGGGAAAACCAGCCCCAAAGGGGACCTGCTGCCCCTGCTCGTCTTGGGGAGCTTGCACGGTAATGCCCATGGACAACAGCTTAATTGTCAGCACTATTAACAGCTTCACTGCTGATCACAGCACGCAGGGCAGCGCCGACAAAAATGGGAGCCAGCTGGAGTTACTTATCAAAGGCAGCCAGCAATGAATAATGTGCAGCTCTGTGGCAGACTCTATTCCCGGTGCATATAATCTCTCCCACTCTTCCTGCTTCTTTTTAGTGGCTTCTTGGCACACAGAAGCACTGCGCAACCGGGAAAAAAATATCACGCACGCTTGTCTGCAATTAATCTCTTAAGGAATAAAGCAGCAAAATCTTTGCAACTGTGCGTGGGAATCGCTCGGTGCATTCTGCAACAGGCTCAGACATACCCATCTCTCAGGCCATCCAGCTGGGAACGGCAGAAGCACCATTCCCAAAGCCGCACCAAAGGTGTTTGCCAAGCGCACACACGGACATTGGATATGCTAGCACTGCCTTATTGCTTCAGCTTTAAAAATAGACAGATAGATGTTGCTGGTTACAGTAACCCATAGCAATAGTACACACATGTCAGTAGGCAAGGACGCTTAATTACAGCCCTGTTCCTCTGGGCATCATTCAGATCCTGCAAAATATCCATGTTTTCCCTTCTTGAGTTTTCCCAGTGTTGTTAAATTAAGCAATGGGCACAAAACGTAACCTCAGCCCACGTCTGCTCCCCAGGCTTGCCTTGCAGCATGTACTTTGCCCTAGTCCTTCTTCTCCCTACCTTGCACCAAACACAGTTTTGAAAATAATTTATATCTATCTATCTATATCTYCTGACTTGACCAGCTGTGGTTTATCAGTCTGTGTCTTTCTGTATATTGTTATACAGTGACCCATATATTTTTGTATCAGACTCAGGCATCAGGTATTATGCAACTAAAAAGCTTTAGAAGAACTCCCACTTGTTGTGCTGATTTCTCATGAACAGATCCTCAAAGCGACAGAAAATTGAGATGACAGCAACAATAAGAAGCTCGCATTTCTGAGGCACTTTACACTTTCAAAGCACTGTACAAACATGGATTAAAACGTATGTGTAAACACCRCCGTCTACACTTGACAGTTCAGGTTTCTTGATCTTAGACTTGCTCGACAGTGTTTTTTTCCATRTGCCAGGTGCTCTCATTCCCCTTGYTCCTTTCTTTGCTTAGATCCTGCTTCTCCCTTCCTTTATGTACTTGGAAAGTAAGTTCAGGTCCTCAAGTTTACAATTTTCTTCACAAGTTTGGGGATACTCTTTGACTTTTAAAAAAGTAAGAAAAGCACCTTGATGTCAAAAAGAAAAATCAAGCAGCGATGACTCCTATTAAATATCGCTAGAAAAACGTGCAGTAGCACATGCAGCTTCRTGCTTACAAACTGCTTGGGGACCTTCGCAAAACCACATCTTACAGCAGACTCCCACACCTGAAACCCCTCTAACTTTTGATGCCTGCAACAAATCAGTGGCTTAATCAATGCATAACTACAAGACAACCAGGCTGGAGCCGGCACTTCTGAAAGGACACGGCAGACGGGGAAGGGCTGGATACCCCTTCCAGGGAAACCTCAGCACTTGCCTGCCTCCAAGTTTGCAGCGAGCCCTCTCCTCCGGGCACCATTTGCTCGCTGCAGGCAATGCCATAGGATCATAAAACAG